ATTTGTGTAATGCGAGCGTAAACACACAAACACATACAAACACATACACACACATAAATACACACACATACACACAAACACATACACACAGACATACACATACACACAAACACACACATACATGCACACAAACACATACACAATACACACACACATACATGCAGACACAGACAGACACATAACACGCATACATACACACACATACACACACATACATAGACACACACATACATAGACACACACATACATACACACAAACACATGCACACACGTACATACACACATACATAGAGACACGCAGACATACACATAAAGACATAAAAAAAACCCACATACACACACACATACACACAAACACATACATACACACATACATAGAGACACACAGACATACACATAAACACAAACACACATACACATGACCCGGCTTCGCCCGGGACTTGGATCCACGATGCCCCGCCGCCTTTGTCTCCCCAGTGACGATGTTCACACACGACAGCAGTTACGCTTTTGAGGCTGAGTGGACCTAGGGGAGGGCCAGGTCCGTTTCAAATAATCGTCAGCGGTGGTGGGCGTGAGTTGGAATCGAACTGGGGTCGCTGAAGCAGCTTAATGACTGTTTGTACAAAGAACATATAAAGAATCGATTATAATAACCAGGCAAGAGTCCACATTATAGACTGCCAGTACACGCACTCAGCTTCATAAGCAGGCTAGAGTGTACATGATAGAGTGGCAGTACGCTCACCGAGCTTAATAAGCAGGCTACAGTGTACATGATAGACTGGCAGTACGCTCACCCAGCTTAATGAGTATTTGTACAGTGAACATTAAAGTAATCGATTGTTGGCGCGTTGGGTTTAAAAGTAATATTAATAGCACACATTGTGGTGGGGGTGTAGTGAAGAGTAGGAAAAACTTTGATGAATTTACCTCAGAGTGGCGTGGTGGGTGTCGAGGCCTAGTAGCGTGCAAAGCCTGCGGCCTCGCCTAAAATTGTCGGCTTGGAAGAGGCAGGGTACGGGTGGCGTTCCTTCCCCCCCCCCTAGCGCTCCAACAATACTGTGTAATGGCTATTATTTAATTAAATACGGAGCTTATGAAAGTGGCGAAGGCGTGGCTAGCCGTTGGCAGGGGCAACCGCCGTCCAATGAAACTGCAGCCCTTGGCGAAGGCGTGGCTAGCCGTTGCCAGGTCCAATGAAAGCGGCGAAGGCGTGGCTAGCCGTTGCCAGGGGCAACCGCCGTCCAATGAAAGTGCGTATGGGCCAAAGTCCACACACACACAGACAGACAGACATGAACGATTTTATATATATAGATAACAATGTGTTGAGGATCTCAATGATGGATTAAACCGAGTGAAGTGAATTGCGAAGCGAGTCGATAATAAAAGCACTGCTACAGAAAATGTACTCGATTAACATGTGCCACGGTGGTGAGATGTTAACTCCTTCGCCTGGTATACAGAAGGTCGTGGTTTCAATCCCGACCCTGACACCTGCTGTATATTTGGAGTTTACATGTCTCTCCCGGTGGTCAAGTTGATTTTTCTCCGGATCCTCCGATTTTTTCCCTCCACATTTAGAATAAACATCACGCGTTTAGAATCTTTACTGTATTTGGCTGCTATAAATTTCCATATGATAAGCCACTTAGTTGAGCTATTCTTTGTGACAAGGTCATTTATGAAAGAGGGCTATGTCGTTCAGTGGGTCTTACCTGTTAAAATTAAAAGTTAAGTTTATAGTTTAAAAGAGGTGTACAAGTGTATGTGTGTGCGCGTGGTAGTGTAGCGATTATGGGAAAGAATGTTGATCCAATCTCCGACCCCCAGGAACAGGTTTGCAGATTTGCTGAGCATTTCTGTGAGGTCCTGGGGGAGGGGAAATCCCTCAGCCTGGAAAACATCGTAGGACAAAGTGGGGATGACCCTACTGAGGCTGCGGTGCCTCAAATATATATTGGAAGAAGTCACTCTCTGTGAGTGGCTGGCTGAGATGCCATCTGTTGAGGAAGTACTGAAGGCGATCCAGAGCCTGAGACCAGGAAAGGCACCGGGCAGAGATGATCTCGAAAGCGAAATGCTGAGGGAGGGTGGCGTTTGTGCACAGACTGCCCTACATGACATCATAACAACAGTCTGGACCACTGGACGGGTTCCGCAGGATTTGAATGATGCCCTAGTGGTCCCCCTCTTCAAGAAGGGGAAACGCACAGACTGTAACAAATACAGGGGCATCTCACTCCTCAGTGTTCCAGGAAAGGTCCTGGAAAGGATTATTCAACATTGCCTTGCCAGGCACGCTGAGGCAAGGGTAGTCCTGCACAGATGCCGTATTTTCTGTCCATCGGCTAGAGCAGAGGTGTAGGGAATTCCAACAAGACCTACATCTCTGCTTTATTGACCTGGTCAAGGCCTATCATACCATCAGTAGGCCTGGGTTGTTCTTCGTGCTCTCAGAGTCCCTGACCCGCTGCTCACGATCATTAAGGACCTTCATGATGGTGAGCGGGCCCGGGTAAAACTACATGGCCGGGAGTCGAAGCCATTCCCTGTTCACTTTGGGGTGCGACAGGGATGTCCTCTGGCTCCTACATTATTTAACATCTATTTCGACCACGTAGTTCATGAAGCCTTCAATAGCTGTACCGGAGGAAATTCCTTCTGGTACAGATACAATGGGAGGCTGATCGATGCCCGGGTGCGGTCAAGGGATGGCTCCCTATTGCTCAACCACGTTATGTATGCCGATGATCTGGTAATTCCTGCTCACTCAGAGGAGTTGGAGGCGCTGCTGCTGAACCTGGAGCGTGTCACTAAGAGGTGGGGACTTACCATCAGCCCCACCAAAACTAAGCACCTGCCTGGGTATTTTGAGCCATCAGACATTCCACTCACACAACTCCCAATTGGTAGGGCAGTTGTGGAGTGGAGAGTTTCCCATACCTGAGTTTCCCATACCTGGGTAGTGTGCTCATGACCAGCTTCGGTTTGACAGCAGAGGTCTCACTCCGAATCAGTCGAGAAGCATTATCTTTTCATCGGTTGCGTCACGCTGTGTGGAATCTGTCGCTCCGCATGAGGCTTCAGGTCTTATTGTCCACAATCAGTCCCTCTCTTCTCTACGCTTGCGAAACGTGGACCTCCCTAATGGAACATCTTCGCTAGTTAGAAACATTTAGGCTGGCCTGCCTACGATCCATCCTGGAGTTAACCAGGCTGGATTGTGTGAAGAGCTCACATACTGTATCTTTGAAAGATCTGGACAAAGTCCCATCGGTGAGCTCCTCCGGCAGGCAAGGCTGCATTGGCTGGGTCATGTAGCCCGCATGTCCAGCCACCGCATGCCTAAACAGCTTTTGTTCGGCCGGATCGAGGGGGCTAAACGAGCACGGCACGGGCGAGAGAAAAGATGGAGTGACGTGTGGTACAGGAGGATGTGGAGCTGAGTGGACTTGCCGATGACTGGTACCAGCGGTGTAAAGATCGGCCTCTGTGGAGGAGGCTCGTGGAGGAGGCTACTGGGCAGTAGGAGGCAGTCGCCCTCCAACAACAACGGAGGGGGGAAGAGCGACACTCACAACAACGAGCGGAGAGCCGGGTGGCTAAAGCACAGCAAGTTGGCACGGTAGGGGGCACAGGTGGTGCAGCCAGTCATCTCAGTCAGTCGACCCGTGGCACCTGGGTCTGCCCCGTGACCTCCTGCCAGCGGGCGTTCGACACTTCACGTGGCCTCAACGTGCACATAGCCTGGCACAAGCGTCGTGGTGACGTCACCGCCACTTAGTGGCGAATGGCGGTTGTTGTTGTAGCAGTTAGTGCGCTGCACTACGAATCTGGCGACCTGAGTTCGATTCCCGCTTACGGTCAATACAAGTGACGATTATAATCGATTATAATCGTCACTTATCTGAACCGGTCCCCTAGGTCGACTCAGCCTCAAATGAGTACCTGGTGCAGTGTGTAAACATCGCCACGAGGGAGACAAAGGCGGTCGGGCGTGGTGCTGGCCACCCACCCCCTCGTGTACCGTTCCGGCCTTCATAGGTGCTCACAAACGACACTTGTCCCCGCAGTCTGTTAAGGCTATACGGGGGATCTTTGTTGTTTGTCTTTGGTGTGCAGGGCCATCCACAGAGGGTGCGGGGCCGGGGGCAAATCGCGCTGTGGGAACCGTAAATTTAACATCTGACACCGTGGCATCGAAACGCCCACCCACCCCCAAAGCGCAGGGCCCCGGGGCGGTCGACACGATCCGCCGTACCCTTGGGACGGCTTCTGTTTGTGCACGTGCGTGTGTGGGGGAGCAGCAGTGTGTTGTTGAGGGCACTGCGAGACAAACCCGGCGACAGTAGTGTTTTGTGATTAGCGCACTGTGCTGCCCTACGAACCCGGTGAACCGAGTTCGATTCCCGCTCATGGCCAACACCGGTGACGATTATCTGAATCGGTCCTGGGCCTCCCCTAGGTCGATTCGGCCTCAAATGAGTACCGGTTCTGATGTGTAAAAACATCAGCACCGGGGAGACAAAATGTAGCCGGGCGTGGCATTGGCCACCCAGCCTCTTGTGCGCGATACCAGCCTTAAAAGGTGCTCGCTAAGAGAGGACTTGCGCCAACACTGTTAAAAGGCTATATCGGGGAGATGTCCTTGTGTGCGTGTGCAAGTGTGAATTTTCATATTAGTGCAACCCTATTTCTAACCTATTTCTAACCCTTTTCTAATCCTATTTCTGTTAATGTTTCCGTAACTTAATTTGTAATTGTACTACGATCGGTCTAAAATAATATAATCTACCTGAAAAGAATCACACGACAGGGAATATTCTTTACACTTGATTTGTGTTTGTGCGATATATCTAGTTTTTTCTACTTTTTCTCACATCATGACTCAGTTAATTTTGCTCCGATTTTTATTTCCATTTAATTGCTCTATTTTAGTTAGATTTTTATACTTTGGTGACACAGGTAAATCTTGCAAATAAAACCAAACAGTCTCTACAATTCTCACCACCCGGCTAAAACTTGAAGAACGTGGATTAAATCAAGTGATCTACGTTGTTGTTTGGCAAACGTGATGCGTTGAAAGTTCCGAAGCCCAGGAATGGACTCAACTGCTCTTCTGGACACAGCGCTGTCAGCAAAGTCCTGGAAACACATGTGAACACGGCAAAATATTATCCATTCAGCCTTCGACTGTCGGGGCAAGTAATAGGTATTCCGATTTAAAGCTTTCGTGACTGCAGGGATTAATCTTCTTGGTTCTTTCGGTAAAGTCACGTAGAAGGGAAATAATAAAACATAAACATAATAAATAAAATTCTCACGACGTTTCGGCCACAACACAAGCAGCCGTCCTCAGGTGAAGACAGAGCTGTCTGAAAGACAGCGCTCCAATGAACACTGCTAAGCTTGGCAGCGTATTTTAAGCTGGGTGGGAGAAGAGCGCCTTGACAAAGGAGTTTACATATCAACAGAAGAATTTAGCATTGAATAAGCTGTGTTAATGTGAGAGAATTAGCAGGATGTTTAATGTGAGGAATTAGCATGTAACTGGTCACGGAAGTAGCTATGTTAAAGTCAGAGTTTACATATCAACAGAGGCATTTAGTATATTGACGCTAAAGAACTGCAAACACCCACTATCATACAATAAGCCGATGTGAAAGAACTAAATATACACTACATCAATATAATGAATGTACTCAATATATTTTCTCCAATAAGCTGAGCTATTAACATTAAGTAACTGGGTATACAATACACTATATAATGACTATCATATAGTGAACCGATAAAAAACTAAGATATAAACTACATCAATATAATCTCCAATAAGCTGAGCTACTAACAATAAGTCATTATACATTACACGTCAATGTCGCAAAAAATTATTATATGCCTCCATATAATCTTTTTTCTTACATCACACGACTATACCCCGTATTATAAACTGCCATAGACAGACCCCAACATTGAATTATACACTGCGTTACTATAGACTATAATATTAGACTTTTAATATTACACTATGCATTATTCTACCAACCCTACTGTATACCACACTGCTGTATATTCACTATGCAATTACGATACTATATATTACCTAGTGAATGATATTAAACATTACACTGTTATACTATTTACTATACAATCTGCTATAAACCATTCCATTGACCGTCGCGTGAAAGGCACTAAGAGGCAATGACAGCGAATGGACTGCAGTCTGATAGTCACCGTAAAACAAAATCAATGAAGACCCGAAATGGTTTACCACGTCCTTCCAATGATTGCTGAGCCAGAATTCATCTTCTCGGTTGAAATTGTCTCTGTGTTTGTATATGTGGATTGCCTCGTGAACGAATCTCTCATGGTAGCCGGATGGCTTGCAGAGAACCTCCGTCTTGGAGAAGTCAATGTCATGTGAACCCACTGAATAATAACAGTGATCTGCCACGGCTGCTGAGGTGTTCGTCCTACCGTGTTTAAGGTCTGCTTTATGTTCACGGATTCGGTCCGAGACATGTCGTTTGGTTTCTCCAATGTAACTGCTACCACAGAGGCAACTTAGTTTGTAGACGCCCGGGTACTGTATGTCTGGAACCACATATTTTACAGACGGGACCAGATCACGGATTTTATGTACTGTGTTGAATCGGATCTGGATCTTGTGTTTATTCAGGATTTTGGAGATATTTTTTCGTGACCCCCGCAAATGTAGGGTAAGGTTATGGTTTTGAATGGCTCAAGAAGATCCTTCTTCATGGTTGGAGTGATGGTTACTCCAACTACACAATCCTCAAAGCTAGCAGGAAGTACCCGGCTTGCCCAGTGAAATATATATTTCTAAACTTGTCTTCTCTCTTAAAAAACATAACATATACATACACAAACAATTAGCTTTGTGAATGCATTCCGTTTGTTTGTTCATTTGTCCGTCAACAAAATTATAAGAGGCTTGCAGAAGTCCTGAATCGAAAATAGAAAGTGGGGGGTAAATAGTTGATCTAAAAGATTTCCAAAATTGTGTGATTTAATTAGTTTACATTTGACGGAGGGGAAAACAATTATCGTGTTTTCGTTCAGGGGCTTAGTGTGTTGTATCCGTGTCCTTTGTTGAAACGTAAACCCAACAATTTGTCAGTTAAAAGCGTTGCAAGGCGTGTGCAGACAGAGAGACAGACAGATTAAACATTGCTTTAATAGGTAAGATTCTCATCATTATGATGATGATGAATACTACTACTACGGCATTATCATCTCCTGGGCTTTACCATTCAGTTTTGCGGATCACATAGTACAACTTGGGCTGGCAGAATCCGTTAAACTCGGAGAACATGGCCATTGTGTATGCGCCCATGTTGCGGAACAGCAGCCAGTCGCCCACGTGCATCTCCGGCAGTTGCGTGCGCTCCATCACGCGATCCTGCCCATCGCAAGTGGGGCCCCACAGTGACGACTCAAACACTGGCTCCTCCGGATCCACGTGCTGCGCAGCAGAGAGACAGAGAAAGGAAGACGCCCGCGAACAGCGCTGAGGCAGGGGTCGGTGGGGGTAGAGCTTTATCGAGCTGGGGGCCGTGCAGGGAGGAGTCCGGCCACTTTCTGGGCCACCAGAGCCAACCAGTCATCCCCAGATCGGCCGTCGCAGCTGCTGGACCTTCCCTGTGTAGGGTGTCCATAACAATCATCATCCATTCCTCTTCTCTTTAAGCCCTCTATCCAATGGCAGGTCTTTCGTCCGCGTTACATAATTTTACGCAGAGATCCGCAGATTAACGCTGCAGCTCAAGGGAGGGAACGACACGGTCAATGATAAATGCCGTCGTGCACTCTGAGGCAGTGACAAAGTTGAGCCCCCAGTGCATTTGCTGCTTGTTGCAGACGTTTTGCGGTTTCACCCCACGTCCTCCCTGGTTATACTGCGGCGGCGAGATGTTAACTACCTCGCCTGGTATACAGGAGGTTGTGGGTTCGATTCCGACCCTGACGCCTGTATATTTTACCCTGGGTCGTCCGGCTTTTTCCTCCACATTTATAATTAACATTCGTTTACATTATTTGGCTGCTATACATTTCAACACTATACGCCACTTCACTGAGCTATTAATTGTGGCTAGGTGACTTCTGCAAAATAGCTATATAGCTCAGTGGGCCGTATCTGGTAAAAAATAAAATGGTTTGGAAATATTACACACCATCCGCTTCACAGTGCATGTGAAAGATCTCGTAACATCATTCGAAAAGAGTAGACCATGTGTGGCAGCGTCACAGTCTTCCTAATTTTATATATTTGAAGGAAAAAAAAACCCGCAAATGACTTAGTTGGGAAACACATATCAACAATGTCAGTACTGTGTCAATATTGTCCATCTTATTTGTTCTGCCTCTCTCGTGCTGTACGTACAGTATTGTTTTGTCATGTATGTATGTTGAACTTCTTTCGCTCCGTACGTAGGTCAACCGTGATAACCGGAAGTGTGGGGGAAGGACAACAAACTAAACATAAAAAGCAGTTCGAAAGAAGTGAGTTTTCCATCTAGATTTAAAAGTGCATAGCTCCAGTGGCTTCCTAATATCAGAAGAGCATTCCAGATGGCTGCAGAAGCACATCTTAAAGTGCGTGATGCAGTGACCGTCTTTGTTCGATGGCTAGCCAAAGCCGCTGTGAAGATGACTGGAGTTTGCATGGTTTGTGCTCTTTGATGAGATCAGCATTATTGAATATAAACAATCAAAAAGCAATTTAGATATTCAGGTCCAGTTTATTGAGCCAATTCCTGGCCTTTGTGGAGGCAGTGTGTGTAACTTCTCCACTCCTTTGGAATTAACCTGTGGGGCAGTGGTTTAGGATATGGTCCATGGTTGTCTAAAGAAATTGGTTTTCAATCCTGACGATTTCAAAGTGCATAGCTCCAGTGGCTTCCGAATAAAATCGTTTCTGTGAAGGTACCACGATTTTCGTTTGAACCAAGCGCAGCCGTTCGTGTTTGTGATGGACCCGATCTTGTCGGTGCGGTGCGTTACTTTTAGTGCCTCTGTGACCACCTCTTCGATGTCATTGATAACGAGGTTGAAGGATCCAAATATTCCATCATTCATGTAGTACATGTACACGGGCTCCCCAACACCTGTGGGGCGAATAAAAATCTAATAATTTTGCACGTTTAGCACTTGCGCTTTTCTCACAGCTCTCGGCCATCGCCAAGGCGCCATGTCATTGAGGGAGTAAGTTTCATCGGGTAAGGGGCGACCGTTGCTTGATGGCTTTACCCAACCATGTAATTGTGCGAGTAACATTTAAATATGGCACATTTGGGGCCGAGGCCATCGGCACACATCGGGCCACTCTTTATCCTTTAGCGATCTGTTTTTTTCATCTTGCATTTGTTTTTCTATGTATTGATATTTGCATGGCTGTCTTAATTGTTGGGCGCTACAAGCGTTATAGCGGCTTGCCTTTTGCCCGTCATCGTGCATTTTGATTCACTGAACATTGCTGTCTGTATGGCAGTGTCGACGTTTTAAACCTCTGCTGTTTTGGAGGGGTTTCCTGTCATGGGAAATTATATCCACCAATGTTGCTTTGTTCAGATGCAAGTCTTTATATTCTACAACACCGTCATACTGAATGTTCATATTTGTAGCTCATTTAAAATGGTCCGCTGTTTTATATACAACAAACCCTTGCCCATCGCGGGGGTTGCGTTCTTGAAAATTGCCACAATCGGCAAATCCGCGATCCGCAAAGGCAAATGGGAAAACAATTGGGGTTGTGGTTCACGGCTCGTACTGCGACGCCCACTCCTTTTGTTTTATGCTCCCCTACATAGGGGATTGACAACACAAATAACGAGGGCCATTTTTTTCGTAATTCGGTACAAAACTCAATATTTTAAGAGCCACAATGCATGTGAATACGTACATGTATAGAGTACTTAACGTGCACGAACGAAGAGGCGGTCAGACACATGCGCGAGCATTATGGGGACAGCGGAGCCGGCGAGAAACATGGCTCCCTATTGGCTGAAAGAGCGGACCGACGAATGAGCTCACTCGTCGTTGGTGGAGGGAGACGAATGATATCAGACGTACCTCCCCACGCGGAAGGTGAGAGAGATCGGAAGGTGTGCGCAGCAGCAAATGGGAGAGAGCGAAGAGGTGTTGCAAGGGACAGGGAGGAGATATAAATGATTGGAAAGACAGAAACGGGAGGAAAAGAGTGGGAAAGAGAGAGGAGAGGGCTCGCGGCGCTTTAGATGGTGGAGGTTGAAGTGAACGCATGCTGCAGAAGATAATACAATTTTCTCGCGCCTTTTCAACTCAACCTACGTGTCGGAGTTTGTTACACGTACGTAATGTTACGAAGTGGTCCGTAAAGAGCTGCATGCGGCTCCGGAGCCACAGGTTGCCGACCCCCTGCCCTACATCAACCCAACCATTAAACAGGGAGTATTTGTAATGTAAAATGTGATTTCGATTTAGGGAAAAAAAATCGTGGGTAGCTGAACCTCACTGCCTCCTCACTGGACGCCAGGAACACCGCGTGACCTGGAACCCACTTGGGGGTCGCGTGGGAGATATGCCACCATGTGTATTCTTCTGCGGCAGCATCATCATCGCAAGCAGTGCAGTTGGAGTACCTGTACAGGAATCTCGCGTTTAACCACGAATGGATAGGCCACGGGGGTACGATAGGAAAACTACCCTCAATAAATTTGGCGCGAATGGTTAAACCCGCGATGGGTGAGGTTTTTGTTTTGATATGTCCTCATTATGGTCCATGGGTCAGAGTAAAAGTAATAAAGAAGTAAAAATTGGTACCACCTATTCGTACCGTTTTTTTAAATGGACAAAAAGAGTAAATTAGTTAATAATCCCACTAATTTCAAACGGTTATCACATAATTAACTGTTATTGGCCCCATAAATGAACTGAAACCGCTAAAGCTATGCTACCTCGGGTAGTACCAACAAGTGAAACATCTGGTTTGGGGTCATGGACTCAAAATTAAAATGAGCACCATGGATTATGGGAGGTTTTTGCTGGATGCTTGCCATTCTCTGCCAATGAGGACGTGCAACTACAGATGTCAGGTTAACCTGCACCGTCGGCCAGCGGTTTGACGAGCGTCTTCTTAGCGATGACGTTGGTGGCCAGGGTGAATGCCGACATGACGTAGTAGCGGCCGGGTTCACTGTAGATGTTCACACCGCAGCCCGCGGGGAAATGCGTGTCCAGTGCCGAGTTCACGACGGCCACGATCTGCGAGCAAGCGTGGAGAGACGTATCAATGGGACCCTTTTTTTCCGGTATCAAAATTAAAAAAAGAACACGCTTTACGCCGTTCCGAGCTATTAATGCTTCAACATTTTCATTGCCTCTTTGGCGTTCGCCTTTTTGGCATTGTTCTCTGGTCTAACACTTCACTATTTGACTATTTACCATTTTTTTTATTTTACTTGGTATGGTATGCTGAGCTATAGAGCCCTTTTTCAGAAGCAACCTGGCAACAAATAATGGCATAATTAAGTGGCTTACTGTGTTTACATTTATAGAAGCCAAATCCTCGAAACGCATGCTGATTATAAATATGGAGTGAAAAACTGGAGGACCCGGACACTGGTGAGACAAGGCCATAAAGGAGGCCGTTGCTGGTATAGGCCAATCAGTTTCAAAGACAATACATATATTATCAGAGCATGTTGGCTTGCATGTTCACCACAAGTACGTGTGGTTCATGCAGACTTGATTTCTTGTAAAAGGTTTCTATTTGGTGTTTGAACATTTAACGCCTCCTGTTTTATTGCTGGAAAGAGTAAAGCATTTTCATTTTTTTCATTGAGATGGTATAATTATGTCTAGTCAATGTGGAGATACATACCCTGGTCTTAGTGTGTCTTTAAGGCATTTAGAAAATTAAAAAACTACCACCAACTTCACCTGGTTCTGTAATTACACAAAACTCATAATTCACAAGAGGAAATACTTTGGGAAATAACGTGGAATCTTCTGTCTTGCTGAATCTGTGTGTACCGCTGGGTCTACGTGTGTCTTTTTAAGTATGTGACACAAATATGACACATACGGAAGTAGAGCAAGTAGGTTTGTGAATCCGGATTCACTGCGAATGCACAAATCATGAGCTATCTCACCACATAACGATTCCTGGAGCTCAGCCCTGGATCAGCTTATGCTTCCCTGAAAAGTGTTTCTCAATGTCAATCGAATCACATTTTAGCAAGAGCTGGAATTCAGACAAATGGAATGAAAACCCAACTTTAATTTGATGATAATTTTTGTGTGTGTTTGGCACAGTAGTGAGGCAGTGGGGAGTGGTAGTGTAGCGGTTAGCGTGCCACGCTACGAACCTGGCGACCCCAGTTCGATTCTCGGTTACGGCTAACACCAGTGACGATTATCTGAACCGGTCCTGGGCCTCCCCTAGGTCGACTCAGCCTCAAATGTGCACCTGGTGCAGTGTGTAAACATCGCCACTAGGGAGACAAAGGTGGCTGGGCATGGTACTGTCCACCCACCCCCTTCATAGGTGCTTTCTAACATCACTTGCCCCAATAATCTTAATCTGTTAAGGCTATAGAGGGATCTTAGTCTTATTTTTGCTTGGCACATTAGGGGTCAAAGGTGATGCAACTGCCAGTCATATCAGTTAGTTAAACCATGGCACCCGGGTTCGTCCCGTACCCTCCTGTCTTGCCACTTCACGTAGCCTTGTAGTGCACCTGGTATGGCACAAGCACCGTGGTGATGTCGCTGCCACTTAGTGGCGAATTGCGGCGGCGGCTCTTGATGTTTCACTGGTGGCTGGGCGCTAAGGCCATTGACTCATAACACTTGAGCACCCAGATTATATAGCTTAGATCGCAAGGTAGCCGAATCTTGGATTGGAACCCAGGATCTCGGTGGTGGCGTGGCTGAGCACCTTGTCGCTCATTTATCAATTAATAAAAATGCAGCAGAAATAAAACGAATGGTCACAAAAACATTATTTCAAAAGCGCATTTTCGCTCGGGTCAACAAACTCCCAAAGTGGGACCTTTTTGCCAGTATTAAATGATGGAAAAAGAATAGGCTTTAACCTTTCATTGCTAGAAAGGGTAAAGCTTTTTCTTCTTTTCATCAAACTCAAAGTGTGGGCCTAAGTCTCAGTCTCGCTGCAGAATCGAGCACTGGGGCGGCGCCCATTTCCGTTGGAGACCCCGAACCAGTGGTGGAAACTCCACATTTCCATGGTAAGGCAGAGTCTCATCATAGGTCGACCAATGTTGACTTCCCACAAGCTGATACTCAATTGATCAACCCCCGAAAGCTGGGTTGATCATTGGGAATTAAACAGTAATAATTATTGGCAGCTCTTGGTCAATCCACTGCATGATTGAAGGCCCTCCCCACAGTGCAGCGATGGGCAACCCAGACGAGTGAGTGGGCCACGCGAGCAGGCCTCCTTCACCTCAGTGGGCTGCAAGCTTGACACCGTGCTTGTGCATTGATCCTGACCCTACACGTAACCCTTGACACACTTAGATCAAATTTCGATTTAAAGCTTTCGTGACTGCAGGGATTCATCTTCTTGGTTCTTTCGGTAAAGTCACGTAGAAGGGAAATAATAAAATAATAAATATAAAACATAATAAAATAATTCTCACGACGTTTCGGCCACAACGCAAGCAGCCGTCCTCAGGTGAAGAACAGGTCTGTTGGAAAGACAGCATCTGAATGAAACACCACCAGGCTTGGAGCGTATATTTAAGCTGGGTTGGAGGGGGAAGAGCGCCTTGACAAAATAATTTGCATATCAAGAGGAAGACGCTGTCTTTCCAACAGACCTGTTCTTCACCTGAGGACGGCTGCTTGCGTTGTGGCCGAAACGTCGTGAGAATTATTTTATTATGTTTTTTTTTATTTCCCTTCTACGTGACTTTACACTTAGATCAGGCCACCTCGAGGGGCTCCTTGGGATGTGTGAGGCTGTGATGGCTGCAGGTTCCCCACCACTGCCACAATGTGCCGTTTAACGAGGGGGTTGGCTCCCAGGACCGGATCAGATTTCACCGGCCATTGATGTAAGCTGTGATCAGGAATGGAACTCATCTGAACTTGCCAGACTCACATCACAGTGCGATAACTACTGTGACAATGCCACCCACGGGTACATACGCAAGCACAGCCCGCTTTTTCAATTAGTTGCTGGATATATACGAGCCTTCTCCACACCTTGTGGTGCTTGAGGATAATTGACCATATTGCTCAAACCACACTAGTCACATTGCTCAGTGTGGGTTGATAAAGTGGATGCACTGCCCGCTACTGCCCACTGCTCGCAAAAGGTATTGCTTTGAAAATCCGAAAATATCAGTCACAGTGTAAGGCCTCCACACGACGAACTGACCTCATCAAAGTTATTCCTGACATGTTCATTGTAACCAGGAAAGCCTCCTCCAATGTCCAAAAGGGTTAGTTTCACTCCCAGTTCAGCCTGCAAATGGACACTTCGCTTTAGGTTAAAAAGCAGACCACATCTCTAGGCAAATAAGTGAAGTCAGGTCAAGAGGTTATAATGACCAATGCAGGTGAGGCCACCGCACAGAGCTGTGCGATTATGGTCACAAGGAGGATTAAATTATACCCATGGTGCAGAGCCATCTCAACACCGAGCGACGCTCTGTGTAGATGGAGGGAAGAGGGGCCCAGGAGATAGAAGCAACAGAGGTATACATTTATTTTACAATTTATATTTTTGATGTTTTTTATCCTTTTTATTCCCACTGCACGATCAGCATCATGCAACGAGACAAATAAACAAAATATAAAAACAATCTCGCCGTGTATCTGTGGCTCATCTGAGATTTTCACAATAAAAAAAATCCTTCAAGTGGTCTTGTTACATTTACACAATAGGGAGTGCACCAAAAATTGGTGTTTGTTGCACGACAAACAGAGATGTTTTACTTGTCAGCTGGAATTTTGTCTAATTAAGTGAAGAAAGCACTTTCTTTCAACAGGATAGGCTTTTCGTGCAGCCATTGCCGAGGCCTTTACCTTGCTGCACTTTGAGAACCCAGTTTAATCACGGGCAGATGACACCCAGATTCTAACCGAATGTCTCAGATACGGATACAATAATCTCTCCTGTGTCACTCGGCCACCTCCACTTACAGCGATGTTGAAAACCCTTCGGGCATCAGCAATGGATCGCGCAAAGGTTTCTGGCTCATTGCAGATGCTTCCAACATGGAAACTGCGTAGAAGCAAAAAGGCAAAATTACTTGAATAAAACATGGAGCGATCATCAACACATTGAAGAGGTTATAACTTTAAGAGGCAATCGCTAAGTCTGGTTAATGTAATGTTTATGCAGATGTTGTGATGTCACTGGTGCCGGCCCGGGAAGGTCGTGGCGTGCGATGTTCCTATGTCGCGGACAGCACTGGATGGGTTGCTGTGTGATGCTGCCTTTACTATAGCACGGCGTGCGATGCACCGTCATCGCGTACACCCCGTAGATGGGTGTAGTACCAACCCTAGTGGGGCTTGGTGAGCGCTGGATAGCGCGGGCACCATGCATAGCGTGTTGTGCAGGCTCCCACAAGGGAGAGCGGGAGAGTGTCAGCCCAGGATCGAGAGGGAGCTAGAACACTCGAGAAGGCGGGCGGGGCCTGGGCGGAGCCAGCCCCGACCCGGGAGTATATAAGGAGGGTCCCGAGAGGGACCGGGGTCGCTTCATTCTACAAGCTGGAAGCTCCACGTCCTACAAGCTGGAAGCTCTACGTCCTACAAGGCATCAACATGTGGCCGGTACCCGAATGAGGGTCCGACCCTTCGTAGCTGTAACTCCTCCGTATGGTGTGGTTGGCTGGTTGGTCACCACCCTAGGCTGTATCTGGTAAAGGGGCAGTTACCCTTTTGTATTTACGTATTATAATAAATGTGTTGCCTCTAAAGAATAACGTCTGCGACTCAGCTGAACTCACGACACATCTTATAGTGACTCGTGGCTATTAAAAAAAAAGATCATGAATTAAACGAGTTGGTCTGTGGCCACCCCTGTGCATATTTTTGCGGCCTGTTGCAGGGATTTGATCCTCCGCTTTATTTTACGTAACTTAATTGTTGTTATTTTACTTAATGGTCATGGTTGAAACACTCATTTCTCCTCTGTATGCATAATACTGTAGTTTTATTAACGATCCACGGGTTTGCAGATTTTGGGACTTTTAATTGGACATGGCTTGTTTGAATGACCTTTTCAGGCCCCGCTCCTTCCTCTATAGGCCCCACTCCCTCCTATTTAGACCACCACCCACTTTCTCCCACGGCCCAGCTCCTTCCTGTTTAGGCTCCACCACTTCCTGTTTAGGTCCCACCCCTACCTTTAGACCCTTCTCCCTCCTCTTTAGTCCCCACCCCTTCCTGCGTAGGTTCCGTCCCTTTCCTTTTTAGGCCCCGTCCACTTGTTTAGACCACACACCCTCTTCTGTTTTAGGAAGCTCCTCTCTTAGGTTCCACCCTTTCCTGTATAGGCCCAACCCCCTCCTCTTTATTGACACCTGCTTGCTAGGCACCCACCCTCTTACTCTTTAAACCGTTCTGTGTGGGCCTGATCCCCCCCTCCCACACACAGAGTTGGGCTGGTTTGAGCAGTGCTGTGGAAGAATAGGGTGGGGGTGTGCCCCCACAGAGGTTGTAGTGGTGGGCAGGAACAACAGGGGAAGGAGTGGGACCGCTTCACAATAACCAAAATCACTCTGACAACAATACATCTGTGTGAGCGTATATTGTATCTCACCAAACTTTATCATTATATTATGTTTTTCACTTAACGCGGCACTTTTCATGAACGTATCGACTGTGTTAAACGACGACTTACTGTATAACATCCACCCTTCCCTTATCTTGAACGCACTGGATACGATGAAAACACCACCATGGCAACAGATGGAGGTGGCAAGTGGTTCAGCCAATACAAAATCTCTCTCCGTTATAACCGACGACGCGAAACACTCCGTAATTTTGCGCTCACCTGACTCCCACGACAAGTAGACCTAGGCCAAATGCCGTCTCCAGCAGCTGACGGCTCGACTCGAGGCTGACTCCGAACTTATTGCTCATCTTGTGCACAGACCTCGAGTCGTTGGTGACGATTCTTAACACGAGCCTGAAGGGATCAGAAGATGCGTTATTTGGGTGGGGAAGCATCAGCATGAAGTGGGTAACGATGCTTCGAGATATTGAAGCGATCTCCATCAACCACCATTCCGCGTCGTGACTCCGTAGCTGTGTAGTGACATAGAACGGTCACTACTGTGTTGGCCCGTACGAAGGCTGGGGGCCCCAAGGGGGTGCCTGGGGGGTCACGTGGTGAAGGGATCCGGACCTTCCCAGAGGTGGGGGAAGTGAGGCGTGTCCTGGGAAGGGAGGCGTGGCCTGAAGAGAGCCAGCGACGCCAGGGCGGAGCCAGCCACGCCAAAGCAGATATAAGCGTGGTGTGAACGCAGAGCGAGGCTGTTTGTACTGTACTCCGAAGTGAAGACATCATGGGTCGTCGTCCTGGGCCAGGCAGGCCGTTGCCTGCCTGGTCCAGTCTGTGTCGCGTTCCAGAGTGTTAGTGAGTTGAGGAAGGTGGTCACCACCTCATGTACAGCGTTATGTTACTTACCGTTTAATAAATAGTGTTGCCTCCAGGCTGCGTGTGTGTGCACCTAATTCGAACCCACTACAGCTGCAAGGCCCCAGCAGAGCCTCGCACCACTGGGCAGGTCTAAGGACGACACCCAGTAGTGGAGGTCTAGAGGTCGAGGTCAGGAGGGAGTCACACGGTAGATGACTAAACAAGCCCAAGCATTGGGTGGGGGCGGGTGGAAAGTTATGAACACAAACCGTTAATGAATAAAAGTGAATAATAAAAGGAACAGAGAAAACAGGAAAAACATAGGGTTAGCTGGCACAGCCTAGACCCCAGCAGGCAAAAAGTAATGCAGTGAAAAACAGGCACGACCTTCCACGTAGGGTGGCTGGCTCCGTGCTCACACAAGGCATTGGGGGAGCCCTGATCTAGCGAGCTGCGATCCCAACTCAGTCTTAAGTTTGATCCTAATCAGAAAATCCATCGGTCCATCCATCGTTTTATCAACGGAGTCAGTATCAGAATCTTTATTTCGACTGGAGGAATCCGATGAGCTATGAAGATCTTTTTCACAGATGTCCAGTATAGAAGTGCAAAATATAGGAAAAAGTGAATTGTGTCCATACTCAAAGTCAAAGTCACAACGTTGGTTCACGTACAAATGCGCAAACACGGATAGGACAATGAATCTCAGCAAAAGGCCAAGTTGCAGAGCTTGCGTATCCGTCAATCCAATGTGTCTGTCTACAAGGTGAAAAAGTAGCAAAGTTTGTTCACAAAGTCGATTTTGCCCATCCGTTCGCGTTTGTCTTCAACCTGGCGTTGGGGTTAATGCGGGCGACCTTGTGCAGCTCAGCATCGCTGTCGAACGTCATGAGGTCGACGCCGTAATTGGCCGCATAGCGCAAGTACGACACTTGCTTGCAGGGGTTTGCATAGATGATGCGATCAGCGCTCACGCCGAGGCTCTGCACCAGCGCTATCTCCTCCTGCACGCGCGAACAACCATAAACGAGCAACCATTATCAACATGCGAACAACCATTGTTCGAACAACCATTGTTCGCGTGTCGCTAATGTCGCGAACCATTAAACGCATGTTAAATGAGTCATCGTCATGTTTCAAAAAATCTGCCGGAATTAATATACTATTGCAATTTGAACTCATATACTTTGTTTTAAAATGTATTTATTTTCAATGATTTGCACACCTTTCCTGTATTTTGCACTCATATCGATTTTGGTATTTTTTGTTGGAGCTTTCTGACCCGCCCCTACTGGACATCCGTGAAAAAGAGCTTCATAGCTCATTGCATTCCTCCAATATGAATAAAGATTCTGATTCTGAAAAAAATATCATGATTATCATCATCAATGAATAGTAGTGTTTACAATCGTCATTCGTTACTCCATGTAATAATAATTATTATGATAATAATTTGAAATAAGGTTCATCGTTAATACAAAACAATTATATGGTATTATGAGTAAATGTTATGAAATGTACGGTTATAATTTCATGACAAGTTTATTCAGCGATTTTCTTTGCTATATGTGTACGGACAGTCCTCGGACCTACGCCAGGTTACGTTACTGGAAAAGGTGCCGTAAGTCGAAACGATGCAAGTCGAGACCCATTTTCCCACAAGAACAATGCTATAATAGGGGGTTACGTTCCTGACCAAGGGTTGAATGTTCAGCTTTTTATGGATATGAATACAAATAGTTTTTAAATCAACTAACAATCATATTTAAAGTACAATAATAGCGTTTCCAAAGCTCCTACTTTTTTTAAGAAAGACTTTTTTTTTTTACTGAGGACCGCATGTGTATGTACTTACACTGCCTACACATTTGCACGGGATACAAGGGTGGGTAAGGAGGGGGTGACGTTGGTGCGATGTCACCTGCATCTGTGGGTTGCAGGTGACGTCATCACGCAAGATTGGCGCTGTGACGTTACCATCGCGCAAATGCCCGCATGCGCATCCAGCTAGCAAAACTTGTTTTTTATACTACAGTAATATATGATAGTATGATATTAATATGTGTAAGGGTTTAAAAAACCGAATACATGTGTTATCTTGACAAATGTATGTAGCTGATGAGCAGTATTAAAACATCCCAAGTGGCGCTTTATGCAATCGGAATAAAGTTAATTGAAAACGCATTTCTGATTCATAAACTATAACAATATTAATGTTCAATGTATATAGCGTCTGTGTTCACGAAAATTTTATCTCACAATTGCCGAGAAAGCACAACACTGGAAGGCAGCCAGGTGCCAACAGTTACATAATCACTGCAGTCATCTGTATAATAAGATGATTTTCAGCAAATGATTGTTCTATGCATGTGGAAGGAACACCAGAGCGCCCGGAGAAAATGAATGCGTGCGACGGAGCAACACTCTATCCCATACAGAAGGGACAGATGATATTACTGTAGTCCTCACGTTGCTGTAACCGCATTCTCCTGGCGAGCCAGGGTATAGCAAACCTCCTTGATGGCCACGGGAAGAAAGTTTCAAAAATGTCTGTGATTCAAAAACCCTCGCTGCAGTGCTGGATTACAGGCCACGTGCATAGCTACCAACGACAAGCTCACAACTCGACAATGTTCTTTCCAAGCTGGTGTGTTTAAAAACATTGCTCCAAGTTGTGTAGTCGATGCTCCTAAGGAAGACCAGGGTCTATTGCATTTCTATGCGATTAAAACAGTGAAGCAAACAACCGGGCACGAAGGGAAACGATACAACCGCCGTTTGCCACGATGTTGCAACATGCAAAAACCTCTAGTGCATTCCCACAGACATACTCCTTTGTTATCCAAAGCAGCAGCAAATGCCATTCGCCAATAATTGGCGGTGATGTCACCATGGCGCTTGTGCCAAGCTAGGTGCACTTTGAGGCCACGTGAAGTGTCGAAGGCTCGCTGGCAGGAAGTCACAAAACAGACCAAGGTGTTATGGGCTGAGTGAGTGAGATGACACAGATGCATCAGCTATGCTTCGCTACTGTGTCAAAATGCTACGAGCCGTCTGGCGCTTCAATCGTTGATGTGAGCGTCGCTCGTTTGCCCTCCGTTGTTGTTAGAGGGCGAATGCGTCTAAATGCCCCGCAGCGTCCTTCACGAGCCTCCGCCACAGAGGCCGATTTTAACACCACTGGTACCTGTCACCAGCAAGTCCACTCAGCTCCACATCCTCCTATACCACATCAGGCCATCTATTATCTAGCCCGTGCTGCGCCCGGTTAGCCCCCTCTATCCAGCCAAACAGAAGCTGCTTGGGCATACGGCGGCTGGGCATATGGGCTACATGAGCTAGCCAATGCAGCCTCACCTGCCGGAGGAGCTCACTGATGGAACCGTGTTCAGATCTTTCAAGTATTTGTGAGTTCCTCACACAATCCAGCCTGGATAAACCCAGGTTGGATGGTAGGGAAGTCAGCCTAAATGTTTCGACCTAGCCAGATGTTCATTTAAAGAGGTTCATGATTTCTAAGTATACAGCAGGGAGGGCAAAACTGTGACCAAGAAGATATGAGGCTACATATGTAGCAAAAGGCCAGTCAGCTTCGACACGACGTTATGCAACCAATGAAAAGATGTCTCTTGACTGATATGGAACGTGACCTCTGCTCCCAAACTGGAACGAGTCAAAAGCACATTTCCCAGGTATGTGAACTCCTCCACTCTATCCACAAATGCCCCATCACTCAAGGAGATTGTTTGACGACATAAAATACCAAAGAAGATGTTTTTCTTTGGCAAGGAAAATTGTAAGGCCCCACCGCTTAGTGGCACACTAGATTCAGGAGCAGTCTCCAACTCCTTCTCAGAGTGATCTTTGGACCCGGTGTGCATCCATGATGTTGTGTGGAAGCGCCGATGCCTGAACAGTGCTTTGGCATTAAAAGCTGTACTTAAGTCGAGCAGCCTCCTACTGTTATTTAGCTTCTTTGGTCCATGCCTTCCAATTACTTCAGCTAAGGTTCCTGCGTCATGATCCACTCGGGCATTAATGTCACCCACCACAATTACTCTATCCCTAGGTGGCACCTTAGCCAGCACCTGGGACAGGTCATTGAAGACATCCAAACGCAGAACACACACACACACTGACCACACACACCATACCTTGCTAGCGCAGTCAAAGCCGACACCCAGCGTGGCGAGGGTGTGTACGATGGTCTGAGTGTTGTTGCACTTGACAGCGTAGAAGGGCCGCACACGTGGCAGGGCGCTGAGCCAGCGCAGGTGCTTTCTCACGATGTCCCCCAGGTCCACCACGTAAAAGGCATCCTTCTCGGCCTGGCAGGTGTGCATAAAGACACAGATCCCTCGTATAGTCTTAGCAGAATGTTGGGGCGAGTGCTGTTAGTGAGCACCTATGCAGGCCAGCACGGCACACGAGGGGGTGGATGGCCGATTCCACACCCAGCCGCCTTTGTCTCCCCAATGCTGAATGTTACACACCATACCAGGTACTCATTTTAATTTTGAGTCCATCTAGGGGTGGCCCAGGACTGGTCATGAGCGGGAATGAAACAGGCATGCGCACACACGCATGTCTAAGTGGTTCGCTGCTTGTTGCAGAGGATCATGGTTCGAATCCAGCAGTGTGTTTATTAACCGTAAAATTACTATGCTGCCGTCAGTTTCACAGTCGATGATAAATATCCCGTGATGTCATTTGTAAGAGAAGGCCTTTGTGTGCCAACGTGAAACCCTTTTTTTCAGGTGGCATTTTTTACATGGGTGATGTACTCCACAGTCGGGGGATGATAGCTATATGCACATGGCCTGCGATCCAGCACTGTGGAAGCGAGGGTTGATGGATCGCACACATTTTACCCTGGCTTAACCAGGTGAAGGGGATACAGCAAAGTGCAGACTAATATAGTGTCTCTTCTCGATGGCTTAGAGTGCTGCTCCCTCGCATGTATGAGCTTTCGCCATGCATTCCGATTCCCTCTTACATGTGTAGTGTTCTAATTAACAGACACTAGTAGGAGGTACTCTCTATTTTATTTCGGCCTTCACAGCCTTCAGGGATAACTACATACCGGGTCGCGACAGCCAACACGCTGCCAGACCCACAGATTGAAGAGGGCAAATATCACGAAGACGACGGCACAACGAGTTCCATTCCAGATCGCAGCAGCCCCGACTGTGAGTCACAGCTCGCCTTTTATCCTGCCCAGTGTGGCCAGGCTCCACCCTCGGTCCCGCAACCCTCTGGATTCCCCAGAGGGCTCCGTGCCTTGCCCACAGGTCCAACTGGTAGAACGGGCTGTTACCCCTAATTCCATTGTCTACCAATCTCCAAGCGGCACGCGCCACAGTGACACTGGGGATGTCACTGTATGGTGCCGGCCCGGGAGGGCCGTGGCGTGCGATGTATTGTCATCGCGTACATCCCGTGGTGGGTGTAGTACTAGCCCTAGCGGGGCTTGGTGAGCGCTGGGATAGCGCGGGCCTCTACGCATAGCGTGTAGTGCGGGCTCCCACAAGGGGGAGCGGGAGAGTGTCAGCCCAGGGACAGGGTTGCCCCGGTCCATGGCACTCTGATTGATCCCGAAGACACATGATCTGGAGTGTCCACAGAGATGGCCCCAGGTGGGGGGGGGGGGCTAGGGGGTGATGACGTGTCCAGGGAGAGCTCTCGAGAGGGATCGAGAGGGAGCTGGAACGCTCGCGAAGGTGGGCGGGGCCGAGGGCGGGGCCGGGGGCGGGGCCGGGAGGATATAAGGTGGGTCCCTGAGAGGGACCGGGGTCGCTTCGTTCTACAAGCTGAAAGCTCTACGTCCTACGTCTGAAGAGGCATCAACACATGGCCGGGGACCCGAGTGAGGGTCCGACCCTTCGTAGCTGTAACCCCTATGTAACGTTTAGTTAGCTGGGTGGTCACCACCCCAGGCTATATCTGATAAAGGGGCAGTTACCCCTTTGTATATACGTGTAACAATAAATGTGTTGCCTCTGAAAAATAACGTCTGCGACTCAGTTGGACTCACTACACATGTATAATTGCTTATGATTTGGATGGAAATATGTTTACGTATAAAGGACTGCAGAGCTTGGGCAATCGCTGGTAGTGCTAGCTCACCGCCTGGTTGCCGCCTTCCGGCTTGATCTGTGGTTCCTCACCCATCGTGAGATGCAATTTGCATGCATAACAACGCGTTATAAAACCAAACATGATTATAATTATTATGACTTGCCGCTGAGAGCACAATTAGAATAACATGAGGGGTGGGGGGGTGAATATTAAAATAAAGTATGAAATGAAATGTGAGTGTAAAACATGACTTTTCCTCTAACATCCCCTACTATCGGCTCGCAGGGGAAGCCGTGTTCTTACCATGGCCTCACCCTCACTAATGGATCTCACCACCTCTACCAGGTCAGTGCCGTCGTCCAGCACCTGCAGGATTCTGGTTTCTCCTGTGGGCACGAGAGTGGCATCAGTGGTAAATTGTCACTTTATGTTTCATAATTTTAAAATGTGAGTAAGCAAATAGAAAAAAAATCTGAAATATAATTTTTTTTTATCAGCAACAGCATGATAAAGGCATAATTATCTTCAAAACATGTCAGTATCAGCATGATCAAATTGCACCATTATGTAAAGCATCGTCATATTATAATAATTGGGTTTTTACCCTTTTATCTGGCAACAAAACTGACACCTTTTTTACAAGGAGTCATGTTTAAATAAGGGTAAAAAAACAATTATCATATTTTTTTTTACTGGCAAATGAGGTACCAATGGCATCGTCATATTAGTGTCGAAACGGGCAAGAACGATCATGCCATGGTGTTATGTATCACTGTCAATAAATATGCGGCTCTGCAGCTGCAGCGTTTCCCGTAGGCTCTGATGAGACGTCACCCTATTCCCCCCCCCCCCCCCATTTTCCACAAAGCACCCCCTTTTTACCAACCCGTTAAGGGACGCACTGCCTCGACCTCCCTTTTCACCCACCCAAGCATCACCTCTAGCGTCCATACCACGAGGAAGCCTGCTCAGCCACCCACCCTCACCGGTTTTGTCCTCTCCGTTCTCTCCCCCCCACTTCTGAGGCTCCTTTGCGGGGAAGTTGTAAAGAATATGGTCCCAATTGTTGTCTTCCTGAAGTTACGGAGTTTCAAACCGTTGCGTTTCGTGAAGGCGATTGACCGCATGTCACAAGGCAGGTCGTTTGCGATGAAGAATGGAGCACTCGGAAAGCACGTCTCGCCTGAATTCCATTTAAATTGATTCTTGTATTCGATTCAAATACACCGGGCCCTGCCATGATAATGTGGAAATTCAATATTGTTATGACACAGCGTCTGCATTGTGACCACTTTGCCGTATTCCATTACTGCTCGCATCCAGGGCGGCAGGGTGGCAATGTAGTGGCATGTCTTTCTCACTGTGGTCGCGTGGGTTTTTATCTGGGTCCCCTGGTCCTTCCCTTCACATTTGTAATAAAGGACTCGACCACTGTATCTGTCTTGGTGTCCTTTATTCGGGTTCGTATACTTTTCCCACACGGCTCTCTTCCAGAGACCCCCCGCTTGGCAGCCCGAGGCTGCCGTCGCTCCCGTAGCCTTTCTCTGTTCCGTAGCAGCCCCGCTGCTGATCTCCTTGTGCGGTCTCCCCGGCCGCCCTCGCTGCAGCCTCACCGCTGCTCCCTCTGTTCCGTAGCAGTCCCGCTGCTGATCTCCTTGTGCAGCCTCCCCGGCTGCCCTCACTGCAGCCTCACTGCTGCTCCCCGCTTCTCCGGGGTCGGTCACCGCTGGCCAACGGTGCCGATCCTTACTCTGTGTGTGTGGCGATCTCGCCACCCCACCAACCTCCGCCCTGCGTGGCCTTACTCTATCCCAGTCTCCAACAACTCCCCCTTCTCTTCCGGTTTCTCCCCTTTAAGACTTGAACTCTCTCCCCCACGTGACGTAACTCCTCCCCCCGTGACGTCACATCCGGAAGGTCGTTTACGCCCGCATTACACATTTACAACATGCGTTTAGAGTACGTGGCTGTTATTCATTTCCACGTGAGACGCCACATTTGTGGCCAGATCGTTTCTGAAAAATAACTAGCTCAGTGGGCCTTACCTGCTAAAATAAAAAATAGTTGAAATAGTTTAAAATAAAAGTTCCTGGGTTCGATTCCCGACTTAGACGCCATGCTGTGTGAACCTTTGCACGTTTTTTTTCCCTGTATATGAGGGTATTGGCCAAAACATCCCAATGCTGAAAAGTACCTGCACGTTTTTCAATTGGCAGCTACCTCAAGTGGGGTGTTTCCTGTATAACCATGCGTAACAATGGTGGTGATAATGATGATGATAATCCAGACTGACTAACACAGGTGGGTAAAGCATCACAACCGACTTGGCCTGGACTCCTCCTGTCGACACTGGGCAATCGAACAAATTATTTCTTGCACAGGAATAATACATAACAAAACTGTCAATATGGGGCCGTCCATAAATGACGTCACGCACCTAGGGGGGGGGGGTCAGACATTTGTGACGATGTGTGACGAGGGGGGGGGGGTTGAGAAATGTGACGTCACGTAAAAATGCGCAACTTTAAATAAATATAGACAACACGTTTTACTTAAATAAATATACTTTTTAATAAATGTTTTCTCCTACAACAGAGTGCAGCGACTCATTAAATACGCACTACAATGACAATAGTTTAAAGCGATTTGAAGCATGTTACATTTTTTTTGGGGGGGGGCAGAGCTTTGTGACGTCATATTTGAGGGGGATCTGACTTTTTGTGACGCCGTGTGACTAGGGGGGGGGGGGTCAAAAATCGTCCAAAATCGCGTGACGTCTTTTATGGACGGCCCCTATGATTTAGTAAAAACGAATACGCTTTACCCTTTCCAGCAATAATGGAGGTGTTAAGATGATGCCTTTGTGCTGTTCGCCTTTTGGCGTTCTCTGGTCCAACACTTGTGAAACCAGTCCCCCAGAGGAGGACGTCTCTGGTGAAGGCCAATCCGTTTCAAAGAGAATGCGTACATTATCAAAGCATGTTTGTTTGCATGTTTTACCACAAGCATGTGTAGTTAAAGCAGATTTGATGCCTTGCAATAGGTGTGTATTTGGTGTTTTACCATCTTAACACCTCCAGTATTATTGCTGGAAAGGGTAAATCCTATTCTTTTTTTGTTATCTTGATATGCGCAAAGTATCCAGAAGATTCGTTATTTGGTGATGCCGCTGCTGCGTCGACCAATAGTACCCAAGCACAAATAGCAAAAGAAAAACGAAGCACATTCGTTGAAATATTGGCAGATATGTACAATTTAGCTGCTGCTGCTGCTTCTTACGTATTTAATTCTTATATTATGTTTTAATATTCTTTGGTTCTTTCGGTAATATGAAACTGCCAATACGCTCACGAACTTAAAAACCAGGCTACAGTCTACATTATAGACTGCCAGTACACTGACAGAGGTTAAGAACCAGGCTACAGTCTACATTATATACTGCCAGTACGCTCACCGAGGTTAAGAACCAGGTAACTGTCTACATTATAGACTACCAGTACACTCACCAAATTTAATAACCATTGCTACAGTCCACATTATAGACTGCCAGTACACTGACCGAGGTTAAGAACCAGCCTACAGTCTACATTATAAACTGGCAGTACGCTCACCGAGGTTAAGAACCAGGTAACAGTCTACATTATAGACTGCCAGAACACTCCGATTAAGAACCAGGCTACAGTCTACATTGTGTTTTTTTAGTCACTTTATTTTTGTATTATTTTTCTATCTTCGCGACGTTACCGAAAGAACCAAAGAATATGAATTCCTGCAGTCACTAAAGTTTTAAGCAAACATTTCTGCTTTAATAGTTAATATATTTGACGTATTTATTATCATGTAACGATAACGGTAATAAAATAACACGAATAACAAAAAACCTGCATGTATCACCGCGCGTTATTGACGAATTACAAGCTAGTGTCAACGACATGGAGTTGGACTTGTGTTGTCGAATTGATTGTTGTGTGCTTGAATGACTGCCGTACCTGTAACAGCAGAACCGGAGGCTTCGTTAGCAGCCATCGTGGAATTCCTTCTACCAGCAATAGTCACAGAAGTAGACCCACGTTCCTGGTGACACTATGGGTTATAAGCCGACAAATACAATCCGATTATTTAACCCTCTGCTAAATTAGCCCCCTCATAAATATTGCAGTCTGTCATGTAAGTTGGCGTGTGTAGCAGTGTGTCTCGTACCATCGTGCGGTGCCCCTGGGCAGCTTTGGAACGCCCTTGGCGTAGGTTAATTTGTCGACGCAGCGACAACCCCAGATGCTCGGCTGCCTCAGCCACTGCTCTCAGAGTTTGCTCGACTTAGAGATCTCGTGTACTGTCCGTGACATTCAAGATGGGCTCCTGCTCGAGAAAGGTTTTGCCCTGGCTGGTGTCTGTGTAGTGTTGTAAATAACAGATGAATAAACTCCTTTAAGGCACACACTGGTTTATTGTCTTTCTTTCGACACGGTCCCTACACACACGGAGGGATATACGGTTCCCTTACTCGTAGCCTAAGGAAGTACAGCCTCCGTACCTGGTGGGACCTATACACGGGTCTGGCTGCTAGCCCAGGGAGGTACAGCCTCCGAACTGGCGGGAACCACACAGTCTACCCATACCCTAGCGTCCTCCGGCTGGGACCTAGGGGAGGCTACCTTGACCCACCGCTGGTTCGGTGGGTCCCCTGACCACTGGTCGCGCAGAGCCTTAGCTCTTAGAAGAGCTGGAGGGCTGGGGAGCCAGGGTCCTGCTTGCCAGGACCTATTCTCCCCTGACCACTGGAACACTGAGCCTCAGCTCTTAGAAGAGCTAGACGGCTTGGTCCAGGGTTCTATCTTCTTCAGCCCGGGCTTCGGTCTTCGTGTGAGGAGAACTGAGCCAGAGCTCTCAGCGCTCTGGCTTTTATACCGGTTTGTGGCTGGGCTTGTCCAATCCCACGCCACTTTGTGGACCCCTCTGATTGGTCCTTCCCAATCTGTTGTTTGGATCCTCTTTCCCCTTAGCTGACCCTTGGCCGTTTGTCTGGCGGGAATCTGTCAATTCGATCCGCTCTAACCTCTCACTGACCCCTACCGTTTACCGAGGGAGGCAACGCTGTAACGTAATGGCGGGAATCCCTTCCCGCGCACCGCTCAAAATGGCGGCCGCCTACGTGGGCTGCATCTCCCGCGCTTCCCGTGGATGGGACGTAGCGGCGGCAGAGTCTTCTCCTCGTGGCCCCGATCCTCCGACTCGTTTGGCCAGCTCGTCCAGGCCCATCTCTGCCACGAGTACTGCCATGGCAGACAGCAGATTGGCCAACCGCTGGCCATGTGCTCGCCTGTCTCTCCCCGCAGGCGGCGGAGTGGTGAGGTTGCGTTCCTGCCGCTGCTCTGCAGGCCCAAATCCCTCGCGGTCCATATCCGGCCGTCTGGGGGATCGCCCCCTCCTCATCTTCCTTCTCCGAAGATGTTTTGGTAGGTTGTCTTCATCTCGTATACATTTGAAGCCTATGCCAATCTTAGCAGTAAGTATTTTCACTTCTGGCACCAGATGTAGTGTGTATCAAACGAGGCACACACTGAAGTCTGGAGGCACCTCGATTTATTAACACTTTAACAGGCTTACAAGTTAACCATACTCGGGGCTATTCTAGACCCCAAAAAGGGAGAGGGGGTTCCTGTCTCACTGAGTCCCTCCGACCGACGTTCTCCGGCTCCCCCCAACGCGACCACCAATGGACAGCTCTTCCGCTCCCCCTCCGTCCCTCATATCCTCCTCGAGCGTGGCCTCGCTCCGTTTCTCGCCACGTCCCTTCTTCGGCCTCTCGTGGGGGAACCGGAGCCAGCGTCACATGGCCCCCGTTTCCAGGCCCCCTTCACCACTGTGTCGGCATGTCCTCTCTCTCCGACGGAACCCCGCTTTGCGGGGCCCGCTTATCTGACGCGTCCCCGTCAGCCCCCATCGAGAGGTAAGTGCGCATTCACTCACCCGTTGTGGTAGTAATTGGCTTATACGCCACAGAGACGCTATTTACGTCTCTACATCTGTGCTCCTGACTGGGTTGTCTGGAACTGGAAGAGCGAGCTGCTGCTCGTCTCCCACCCAGTTACTCTGCTCTGCATGTTCACCCCATTGTCACTCAATCTATCAAATTTGCCGTCACTTTCATCTCATCCATCACGCACACAACACACCCCTATACTGTGTTAAACAATGGCAACTCCCATATTCTGTTAATTTATTTTCCTCCAAAATACAATATTCTGCAATTTCATATTGTTCGTATCACAATGTCTTCACCGGTCAACCGTAGCTTAAAGTTTTCTCAGACATGCCTCACTACATATCAGAAAATGCAGTTTAGGACAGCAACTCTTTTACAAAATAAATTGTAAATCTATTCATTTTGTTGATTAGGTCAGGCTTTGAAACCAATCCTTGTCCCATTACTACTGCATCTTCTCCATCACTCATCTAAATGTTTTAATCATTCAGCATTAAACCTCTTTTCTGATTACATGGTCATGCGAGCGTGGCCAGTGTGGGCTTGCCTGTGACGAATCACACTTATATTTGCACACTCTGCAACGTTTGGCATCATATGCGACGCAAGAAAACTGTTTTATATTCCAGTTCGCAGCTGCATGTGGCTACGGGTAGCCAGGTGCATATTTGTTGTTGTATTATAAGTGAAAGGCAATGATGATCAGGTAAAGGACCCTGATACTCACGTGCACGAGTACGGGACACACCCTCAAATTCATGATGCCAAACGTTTTACAAAATAAATTGTAAATCTATTCATTTTGTTGATTAGGTCAGGCTTTGAAACCAATCCTTGTCCCATTACTACTGCATCTTCTCCATCACTCATCTAAATTTTTAAATCATTCAACATTAAACCTCTTTTCTGATTACATGGTCATGCGAGCGTGGCCAGTGTGGGCTTGTCTGTGACGAATCACACTTATATTTGCACACTCTGCAACGTTTGGCATCATATGCGACGCAAGAAAACTGTTTTATATTCCAGTTCGCAGCTGCATGTGGCTACGGGTAGCCAGGTGCATATTTGTTGTATTATAAGTGAAAGGCAATGATGATCAGGTAAAGGACCCTGATACTCACGTGCACGAGTACGGGACACACCCTCAAATTCAGATTTGGGGTGGATTCCGTGCCGAGGGACTTAGCCGAGATGTTGCGTGACATGGAGGGTGATGAGGGTGTCTCTGGTCATGCCCCTTGGAAGAACACTTTGAAATAAATTGTGGACAATTCACAAACCTCTGGTGCTCGTCTGTTGTGGAGTCGCCCACATCTCAGGATAACAGAACACAATGCAGAGCATCTACTCGTCTCCGAACCTTGTTACATATATTTTTTATTGTTGTCTATTTAGCCGACCTGTCCGCTCATTGCGATTCACGGGAGGTGAGGGGCAAGGGCAGGCCGGCTACACTAGCGTTATGCGAGCGTAAACGGGGTTCGCTGCTGGGCTCTGGCCCAATCATACGGCTCGGGGTATTGGGGGGCGGAGCCCAGTATGGGGGCATATGGGAGGGTCCGCCGTTCACCTCGGGTCCAATTAGAAGCGAGGTGAACGGGGGTGGAGCCAGCAGGGCGCTATGGGAAGGCCGGATTTGACGGTCCGGAAGGGGAGGAGACAGGATCACGTGGTAAAGGGGATATAGGTGAGAGCCCGGAAGGGCTCCGGGTCAGTGGTTGGAGTGAAGAAGCCGAGCCACGTTGGGTGGCCGGAGGGGATCCGCGCCATCAGCCACGTGGCTGGAGGAGCTTCGGCACACCGTCGGCCAGCGGTGTGTGGAGTGGGGGAGCGAGAGGACTGACGAGGGAGCGCGTGTGGGGCGCGCGTGAGGAGACGCTGGTCCGCTGTCAGGACCAGTGGGGTGCGAGCAAGAAGCTAAATAAAGAGCAACGGAGACCAGCAGTGTGTGACGAAGTATTTTATTACACTAGTATCAGGTAAATCTCCAAACGAAATCAGAGAATGTCCAACACGATTTAGATTTTATTCAACATCAATCGTCACCACTAACATTGCTCCTACATCCTCAAAAAACGAAGATCATGGGAATTTTTCTTCAAACAAAAATCCTGTTTCATTCTCTTATGGATATCAGAAAACAACATAATTGAACAATCGGAGTGCTTCAAATACTTGGGTTTACTAATTGATTCAAAACTTATAATTCAACCCCGTATTTATAACGTATCAACGAACATCTTAATATTTATTTTTAATATGTAGAAACAAATAGTTTTCCCGTTCAATTACGCCTGCAAATAGTTCAAGCTATCATTTAACCACTGTTTGACGAATGTGACGCTGCTTACTGATCAGCTACTAGCGAATCACTAAACCCATAAAAAAGGTGTTTATTGGTTATATTGCGTGAATGTGTCGTTAAACCCACCACCACCCAACACAGCAAATATTTGTCACGTAAAAAAAACGTGCCAATTAGTTACTTCAGAAAACCGGTGTTGTAAAGGAAACCTGCATTTGCAATTTGACCCAAAAAAACTTGATCACAGACTAAACCCGCTTTATTCTGCTCTTCGATTTGCACTGAATGTACTCATGCAGGACGCACCATTGTGATTTATACTTAAAATCCAATCTCACATCACTTGATGCAAGAATACATCTCCATTGAGTCCTGTTCTTCCATAACATTTCTTATTGGCAAATCTGCACTATACTTTTAGCCAATTCATTTACCCTAATTGTTGAATCCAAGAACCCTAAGACGTCCATATAATTGCCTTCTAACTATCCCAAGAACAAGAATTGGAATAGGTGACAAAGCATTTGCCTTTCCAGCACCAACGTTTTGGAATAACAATCTTGTTTCCTCTCTTAGAAATACTCCTTCAAAAAAAATTCTGAAGCAGAAGATTAGTGCTGGCTATAGCCACATTTGCCAATGTGATTTGTACATTTGATTCTGAACAATGTATTGATATTATTGGTTCTTTCGGTAAAGTCACGTAGAAGGGAAATAATAAAATAATATAAATATAAAACAATAAAAAAAAATTTTGCTGTGGATTTCACACCTGATAATGATTGCTTGTGTTGCAGTCGAAACGTCGTGAGATTTTTATTGTTTTATATTTATATTATTTTATTATTTCCCTTCTACGTGACTTTACCGAAAGAACCAAGAATATGAATCCCTACAGTCACGAAAGTTTTAAATCTAAATTTAACGTATTGATAGTTCAATTGCAATGTACAATTGTATTGAGGGACTATGTGTTGTCTTGATATGGTATGGGACTGTTTTTGCTGTTGTTTTACTGCCTTTCCCAAGCTTGGGAATTGATGTACTTATGCAACTTCAAGTAACCTTCAATTATTTGCACCACCATCTTCCTGCAATCTGTGTACATCGTAACTCGCCAGACGGTTATCATTTATGGGGAAATTGATTCCGCGTAATGCAGCACTCTTCAGGAACACATTTATCGCATCAAGCGAGGATTCAGTGTATATGTGTGGGTCTCTTGGCGCCCGGTGCTTGTTCGACGTACCCATTGCCCGGTCTCTTGGCACCCATTTTCCGTAAAAAAACCCACGATAGTCGCCTGGTAATTAATTGATTTTGACGAGGCATTGTTGAAATTACTTCATGATGTACATCAATACGTGATGCTGTGTGAAATTATTAAATGTGCTTAAGCATATTGGTAAATGCAGTTTAGTTGCCATTTTTTAAGTTGAGGGATGACATTGATTCCTGGTCTTTACTTTCCTTGACCAGCAAAGACCTGCTCACACGCATACACACGTACATGTGCCCACACACACAGCAAGTGCTGCTAGTGAGCGTCTATTAAGGCCAGAACTACACATCTTATCTTATTTTATATTCATATAGTGCCTTAGTCCCAGGCGCCTTACAGAGATTATAAAGCAGTAACAAAAATTAGAGTGATGGCAAGGGCGTGCAAGGGCCGTGGAATGACTATCACGTAGGGGCCACGAATGCACAGGAGAGGGATGGGATGGAGTGGAGGGGTGAGGGGAGGGAAGAGGAAGGGTATGGCAATGGAGGAGAGGTGGAGCTTTAAGAGAGGAGCGAAAGGAGGATAAGGAGGGAGACTGAATAATGTACAGGGGAAGCTTATTCATGAGGGGGTTGTACGGCCAGGACCATGCCCGGCCCTCATTGTTTCACTGCTGCTCATGTTCACACGCTGCATATGGTAACGTTGAGTTGAGGGGCCTAGGTCCCGTTCATGCCCTTGATGTAAGCCGTTACCAGGAATCAAACTCAGGTCACCATATATTTATAGCGCAATGGCATTAACAAATAAGCCTCTACTCCTTATAAAAATACAATGATCCCCTTATAGCCTGTAACAGACTGTTCGGGCAAGTGATGTTAGCAGTACCAAGCATTTATGAAGGCTGGCACGGCACAAGAGGGGGTGGGTGGTCAGCACCATGCCTAACCGCATTTGCCTCCCTATTGGCAATGCTTAAACATTGCACAAGGTACTCATTTGAGGCTGAGTCGACCTAGCGGAGGCTCAGTACCGGTTTCAATATTTCCCATTCTTATTGGTTGTGAGCGGGTTAGTAGTGCAGCATGCTCACCGGTGCACTACCGCTCCCGGATACACAGATGCGTGTACACACATCCACATCGCCACTTGCTCAGTGCCACCTAACCATACCCGCTCAACACCACCCATCAAAACCACCAGCCCACCCAGCAGTACCATGCACCACTTACTTATGAAACATATTCAAGACCATCTATCACTGCTAACAGACCATTGGATGCTAGCACTCGACCATCTATAGAGACCACGTGACCCCATCAATTCAAGACAATCACATCATTGCCACAAAATATCCATCCCTGCAATTCAATCATCTTCCACACTCATTCCTCTTAAATGCATTCCTAACTTCTCAAAATGTATTGATTAATTTCATATGGCCAATAAAGAGAAACTTTTCGAGATTGAGTTCGATGTGATTTAGCCATTAAATTGCTTTGTCTGAGAGTTGGTGAATTTCCGATACACACTGGCAGAGCCAGTTGGGGGGGTGGGGTGGCACGTGCCCCCCCCCCCAATGATCTGATCGAAATCCCTAATTTCGATCGGATCATTGGGGTTTATTAGTAACAAATCGGCATTTTGCGACCCCCATTGCCACTGTGTAGCATATTATTATGTGCCAGGGACTCAATGAGGTGATAGGGCAATAGTCTGAGTTCATAATTGGCAATAAGTAACATCAACGCAGTTATAAGTATCTCATAGAATTGTGCGCAGTTGCGTATACAGTACACGACTTCCCTGAAGGCAAACACCTTCAGTGAGCGCGATGCCAATTACACACGGTTCTAATTCGACCCTCGATCGATGGCTGTGCCATCGCCGCACACGCGTCGAATAAAAAGCAAGGTACAAGTCCTTACTTAACTAACAACTCCTATCATTTTTAATTTCTGAAGGGGTTGCCCCCCCTCTACCTGAAAATCCTGGCTCCGCCATTGCCGATACACAACCTTCAGAATTATTTATGGGGCAGTGCGAAGTTCTGTAGTCTGTTTGGTGTTCGTAGCTCAAGTCGCACACAGGAGTGTTTTGTTTTCCACTCGTACATGAGGTATCTGCATAACAATATATTATACTACTTAAGATACTACTAAACATTTTTACAAAACAAAAAATGTACCAAGACCACCAACTCCACACATTCACCCAAAACTAGACCATCAACGGACCACTTAATCCGATCTACTTAGAGCCACTCGTCAGCAATATTGACTTCGCCTAACCCTGTCTGCTCAACAGTGCCCATCTGCCCAGCCTCACCACTCGGCATCACCAATCATGTAGTGGATGTTGGGCAACGGGAATCCGTTGAACCCTGAGCTGAGGGTCAGAGTGTACGCGCCCATGTTGCGGAACAGCAGCCAGTCGCCCACGTGCAACTCCAACAACTGTGTCCGCTCCATCACGCAGTCCAGCCCATCGCAAGTGGGGCCCCACACCGACGACTCAAACAGCGGCTCCTCTGGCTCCACGCGCTGCACAGCAGAGAGAAAGAAAGGAAGACGCAGCGGTGAGGCGCGAAAGAATGGCCATGAACACGAGGGATTGGGTGGGCGCAGAGCTTTCACGCATGTTTTGATACCGTACACAATCTTGAGAATGATTGGCCTGCATCAGAAAATCACTCCTGTGACTTATCACGAATTTGCTTCATGCGGAAATTTTCAGGAACACAACGCCCATGTTAAGCGGGGACTTGCTGTACTACGCTGAACGGGCCCCACATTGTGAAAGTGGGGGATTCCAATGAGCTATGAAGCTCTTTTTCACAGATCTTCAGTATTGGGCGGGTCAGTAACTTTTAACAGGTCACAACACCCCGCGTAGACGTCGATATGACATCAGGAACGCCAGTGGGATTTGTTTAAAGGGCCATGACACATGCCAGGGTGCAAAACCTGCTTCGCACTTCTGCAAATTCACTTCACACAGAGGTCCTCATACATTGTGACTGTACAGTAGCATTCATTTTACAAATTATGTAATATTCTCAATTACCTTCAATGCAACTGGGGGAGTGCATTTCTCTTTGAAGAACACAAAGTTAAACGATCCAAAGTTGCCATCGTTTATGTAGTACATGTGCGCTGGCTGCCCCTCACCTGTGGCGGAGGCAAGAACACAACAAAATCCGTTTCCTATTCCAATATAATCACAATACAATCACAATACATTCACGATGCAATCACAATTCAATTAAAATACAATTACGATACAACGAGAACGTCCCTTTCTTCTAATACCCCCAGCAGGGTGCACGGCAGAGAGCTCCTGTAACTTTGTCATTTTCGTTACTTATTTTTCACTTAAATTCGGAAAACTTTTCGCATAATGAAGCCATTATTGACGTAGAAACTATTCAAACGACGGGACAGTCTCGTAAGGAGTGAGTCTCACTTGAACGCATGCGAACCCGAACGAGTCTTCAGACCAGATGTAAACACAGCCACAAGGCACCAGCATTGCCAAGGTTGATGAAAAATAAGAATAGGTTTTATCATCTGCATTAACCATGCAAACATACTTGTGGAAAAACTGTTCGCCTTTTGGCGTTCTCTGGTCTAACACTGGCGAGACAAGGCAAGGCCATCTCTGGTGCAGGCCAATCAGTTTCAAACACAATGCATATATTATTAGAGCATGTTTATTTGTATGTTCACCACAAGTACGTGTGGTTAATGCAGACTTTATTCCTTGGAAAAGGGATCTACTGTATTTGTTGTTTGAACATCTTGACACCTGTTTTATTGCTAGAAAGGGTAAAATGTCTTATTCTTCATAATATTTAGATACTAGCAAAAAGGTCCTATAGATATTCACAAGGTTACAAAGGAGGGAATTCCAGACAACAGCAGCTGCAACAGAAAACAGCGACCTCCCGACGGATGAGAAGATTCCAATGCCACAAAGTACTTTTTTACGTTGTGCAAGTCCACCACAACATTCCAGAAGCTGGTATATAACCGCATCCCGATGCAATCGTATCTCAATTAAATTGATTTACAACGACTTTCACCGGCGAACATGCTCTGGAAATGACATTAAACTCCGCGGCCCCCCCCCCCTCCTGCTGCCTATGCCCACACTGTCGGCCAGCGGATTGACGAACGACTTCTTGGCGATGACGTTGGCGGCCAGGGTAAGCGCCGACTTGACGTAGTAGCGGCCGGGTTCGCCGATGATGTTCACTCCGCAGCCCGCGGGGAAATGCGTGTCCAGTGCAGAGTTCACGACGGCCGCGATCTGAGAAGTCGGATTTGCGAAGACACGTGCGTGGCAGCAGTGCTGAATCAACGTGACCTTAATGAGTGTGCAAAGAGTGTATTTATACAGGGCCACCAGTTCCAAAGTGATTTTCTGTCTCTATGTATGCCTCACACTCGATGCAACTCTGTGTTTTTACTTATATCAAAGTTTTGATGTTTCTCGTTCTGCGTTTGTCTCTATGCTTCTGTCTCTCAGTGTCTGTCTCTGGTCCCAGCTAGGTCCTTTTACCTCATTCGTACAAGGTCCAAACACTGCACTGCAGTATCTATCACATGGCAACCAGGCATATATTGATCCATAGATTAATTGACGAGCATCAATTCTTACATTCAAAATACATGCAGAAAATTGTCCACGTGAGAATCAATGTTTTTCAATTCATATATGGTATATGCAATGGGCGTGTGGCACCTGGAGCCACTAAAGGCACTACTTTCACTCCCAATGTAAACAAATTATAATATATTTTTAAATAATAATGGGCTTGAATATTTGCAATTCATGCAAATTCATGGAACCACAAAAGTTCATGCTGAAAGGTTCAAAACCTGTGATTTGAGGTGGCTTGGTGGATCCAAGGTCAAATAGCCACTGATGAGTTCATGGACTCAGCCAAGGTCATTATCAGTGACTGCAAAACATCATTCACATTTCGTTTTAACCGAATTTGGCTGAAATACAGCTGCGAGAATTAAAATGTAGGTTTGACCTTTACGTGACAAACACCCATCTCACTGAAGAGTGTGTACGAAAGTGTGACCTTGTGATGTTGGTCACCCACCGCCTTGTGTGCCTTGCCTGCCTTGATATGTACTCACTAACAGCACTTGTCCCGACAGTCTGCTGTTGAAGGCTATACGGGGGATCAGTGTCTCTTGTGTGAAGATGAAGAGGCCACTTGGCAGGGGTTTTAAGAAGTTCTGAGAAAATCTCTTGCTGCACAGCTGCTGCCAGACACTTAAGAGTCGCACAACAGTGTGTGACATGATGTTGACAGCACATCAGGGGAAATTATTGCGGGCTTATTTTTTAGATGTATATATAAACGATGTATTTATTTGTTTACAGATCAAATCGCTCCACGGTTATGATTAATGAAAATGCTTGAGAAGCTCACGTTCATACCTGACGCAAGGACATTTCAGATAAGCTAAACGTAGATAAGTCATGGCAAGCATGTCATCCTGATTAAATTGAAAACGTTTGCTCTCTGGGTGTGACAAAACATCGATTCCCTCTCCAGCTTACAATATGTGCGTTGACTCATGCATGTCAGAATCGATGTTGTCTGCAATGTGTTGATGTCACTCCTGCAGCCACTAGAGGCTATGTATGGTGCAAAAGAAGCTCAACATACAGAGGAGCTACAAACCAGTGCAAATATCTAAACAGAATTATTCTTTAATCGAACCGCGACCCGAAATCAAAAAGTTTAATCGAATCGCCGTGGGAGGTGATGTGCAGTCATTCCACCCCTACTAACACTGACCTCCTCAAATGTAAATTTGGACTCTCCATTATGGCCTGGGAAGCCTCCTCCAATGTCCAGAAGAGTCAGCCTCAATCCCAGTTCAGCCTGGAAACAGTGTTGCAGCGGAGGCAGAGTTAACAATGCCTCGCCAAACATTGACAACTGCACATCGCTATAATTGTATACGTATTAAAAAGTGTAAAAAAAACAATCCGTCATTAATGATAAAAAAGTAAGCACTTGTGGTATTCATGCCATTATTAAAGCACAACGGCTATTGTGAAGGCATTATGCTCCAAGGTTCATGGGGCGCCACGTTTGCTTGATGTTAACTCCCTCGCCTGTTATGCAGGAGATTGTAGTCTGATCCCAACCCTGACTTCTCTTCTTTAGTGCTGCCTAACGGCGTGTGCGACTTCACGATGATATTGGTCCCGGTCTAGCACGGCGTGTAGAGTTTGTGCTGTTGTTAATTGTAGCCATGTTTTGATGTTACTGAGCCATGTCGTTTTTGGCCGTCCTGGTCGTTTTTTCCCTTCGATTTTTCCTTCCAGGATAAGCTTTAATAGCTGGTATTTGTGGTCGTTTCGGGCAATGTGGCCTAGGTAGTAACACTTCCTGCTAATGATGGTCTTCAGCAGTTGCCTGTCAGTGCCCATATCTTGCAGAACTTGTGTATTGGTGGTTTTGGCTGTCCATGGGATTTTCAGCATTCTTCGATACAGCCACCCTGACGATGCCTGTATATTTGGAGTTTGCATGTTCTCTTCGTGGTCATGTAGATTTTTCTCCGGGTCCTCAGTTTTTCCCCCTCTATATCTAAAAACGTGCGCCTAGAGCATTTGGCTGCTTTAATTTGTTTATGATAAGCCACGTCATTGGGCTAAAACGTGTGGCCAGGTCACTTCTGGGCAGGTCACTTCTGAAAAAACTATCGCTCAGTGGGCCTTACCTGGCAAAATAAAAAAAAAATTGAGCAGTTTAGTTTACTATGTTTCTAGAGGATGGAAGAGGTGGTGGACCAGTGACACTGGTTCGTGCAATGTGCTATAAATCCAGTGATACCCGAGTTGCAATCAAATAGAAAGACAAAATGTGGGCGATGTTTTCCAGAGTGTAGCAGCACGGGGTGTGAACTAGGATCACCAAGGAAACATAATTCACGTGAAGAGATGAAGAGAGGGCACGTGCACAAGTGGGGCCAACAGACACATGGGCCAACCAATGGGAACGACTTGGCAAAAGCACAGACCAAGGAAGCACCGGTAAAAGAGGCAAAGGGAGGCAGCAGAGAGAGAGAGGGAAGAGAGGCCCAACAGGACTAGATCCTTGATTGTGTTGGAAGACAGAAGAGGCATTTCCATGGAGAGTTACAGAGTCAGCACTTCAGACAATTTCATCAAAAATCTTAAGTATCAAGCGATTGAGGGCGGGGGGGGGGGGGGTGTCACTTACGGCGTTGTTGAAAACCTGACGGGCATTTGCAATGGCCTCGGTATAGGTCACAACATCCTGGCAGCAGCTACCAACGTGGAAGCTGGTGAAGAAACACACACACGACAACACGTGCACAGACAATAAGAATTAAACTGCCAAGCCAGTCCATTTTGTGATGCTTAACTTAAAAAGCATACAATTGTGATGGCCTTCGACCAACGGTATTTTGTGGAATGGCGAGGACATGCCGAGTTGCGAAGGGATGAGCAGGGAGCATGTGACAGAGGGCGGCAAGATTGGCTACGGTTGTTGCTGGGCAGGAGCGGGCTCAGGAACGCCCTGGAGCGGATGGTGTTCACGCCAGAAATTCTGAGTGCACGTGCAAAGGTGCGTGATTGAACAGGTACCTGTGAAATTCACGAACCCCAGCGGGTGTTTCAGTTTCACAAACCTCTATGTGATCCACCAACGCTTAAGAAATATGCAACACACCCAGTTTAACGCTACAGATGGATCCTCACTGATGAATATCACCACTTCACACAGTGAACGCCAAAAGTTAATTGGGAGCAGGTTTAAGCAGCAGTGGTGGAACTCGGGTTAGGGGTTAGGATCAGGGTTAAGGGCTTGTGATAGTATTCTTGGTTCTTTCGGTAAAGTCGCGTAGAAGGGAATCCCTGCAGTCACGAAAGCTTTAAATGGGAATTTAAAGGTTGTGATAGTGTTAAGTTGGCTATGAGGGTAGGGTGTAGGGCTAGTATTTCTTGGGTAGTTTAGCTGTGTGTAGTGGGATGATCGAGGTTAGGGGTTGAGTTCATGTTTTGTTAGCTATTGTCTGGTTATCCAGTTGATAAGAAGTTTATTTTAATTAAACAGGGGACACCTCAAGGGACCAGCATAGCCTAATTTTCAAGAATTACCTGGGCATTTGTCTGTCAGTAGGGTACGTTAATTGATATCATTCCAATTTAATAATTTGTAGGGCCATTTTCTTCGGCAAACTGTGGATGAACCTCTGCAACAACAATCTGCGAACACGTGACCACTAGGCCATGTCACCTGGTTGGCTGGTTTGGTTAAGAGTTGAACTAGCATCGACTTAGCTAGCGTGCTCTCATCCACAACAAGTCCGCTCCTCCCCTCACTGCCAAGGATGGCAACTTAACAGTTTGGTTCGCCTTTCACTTGTGCCATTCTCATCGCCATTCGAGGTAGACTCACCTGACCCCCACGACGAGCAGTCCCAGTCCCTGCGCCGTCTCCAGCAGCTGATGGCTCGACTCGACGCTGGCACCGAATTTACGGCTCAACTTGTACATGGACTTGGAATCATCGGTGGCGATTCTCAGCACAAGCCTTTAGGGTTAGGGTTAGAGCGTGTGGGGGGCATTAAACTAGCAGACAACTTCTGTATTTGTGGACAAAAGTTGACAACACATTGTCACGGCCAGCGTTTGTTGATGCAACCTCATCTCACCTCTTTACTTCTGCTAAATTCTAAGTTGTCCTGATCAAGTCTTGGTACAACTGTACTGATTTTAGCGCCAAAAGTGATATGGGTCTTGTTCACCCTGGTTATTAGTATTTGAAGATCCACCTCATTCTCTGCCGGTAGAGCCGTGTCATCCCATCACCTGAAGTTAGAGAGTCTTAACCTTGATATGAGAGCACCACTTTCACAATGTACTATTTGCAATGCCATCGCTACCTCTGACAAAGAATGTTGTCAGCGAGCCTTCTACACTTCGCGTGGCGTCAGAGTGCACCTGGCCTGGCACAAGCGCCGTGGTGGCGTCACCGCCGCTGAGTGGCGAATGGCGGCTGCTGCTGCCGCCCATCCATGAGAGAAAAAAATAAATAAATTCGCTTTCCCCTCCGTTTGCGTTCACCTGGCGTTGGGGTTGACGCGGGCGACCTTGTGCAGCTCGGCATCGTTGTCGAAGGTCATGAGGTTGACGCCGTGCTCGGCCGCGTAGCGCACGTGCGACGCTTGCTTGCAGGGGTTTGCATAGATGATGCGGTCAGCGCTCACGCCGAGGCTCTGCACCAGCGCTATCTCCGCCTGTTGCGACACACACACACGACGATGACTGTGATCGTGAAAAGGAACAGGCTTTACCCTCTCTGTGGGTTGAGATTTTCAAACATTAAATAGGCACCTATTGCAAGGCATCAAGTCTGCATTCACTCAATGTGCTTGTGGTAAAAAAATGCAGGCCGTCTCAAATGTGGGCCAATCCGTTTTAAGGACAATGCACACATTATCAAAGAATGATTGTTTGCATGTTCAGATACACAAATGGCAAAGATCCCCCGTCTAGCCTTAACAGACTGGAGGAGCAAGTGCTGTTGGCGAGGAGCACCTATGTAGGCCAGCACGGTACACGAGGGGGCGGTTGGCCAGAAAACACGCCTTTATCTCCTTAGTGACGATGTTTATACACCGCACCAGGTACTCATTTGAGTCACACATACACCAACCAATACCAATACCCGCCATTCGCCACGAAGTGACGGTGACGTCACCACGGCGCCTGTGCCACGCCAGCTGCACATTTAGGCCACTTGAAGTACAGTAAGTGTCGAAGGCTCGCTGACAGGAGGAGGTCTTGGGACAGACCCAGGTGCCATGGGTTGGCTGACTGAGATGACTGGGTAGATCCACCAGCTGTACCCCCTACTCTGCCAACTTGCTTCATTTTAGCTGCCCGGCGCTCAGTTTGTTGTTGTGAGCATCGTTCCTCTGCCCTCCGTTGTTGCTGGAGGGCGACTGCCTCCAACTGCCCAGTAGCGTCCTTCACGAGCCTCCCCAAAGAGGCCGATCTTGAAACTGCTTGTACCAGTCGTCAGAAAATCCTCCCAGCTGCACATCCTCCTGTACCACATCAGTTTAGCTCTTCTTCAGCCCATGTCGTGCCTGTTTAGCCCCCTCTATGCGGCCAAACAGAAGCTAATTGGGCATGCGGTGGCTGGGCATGCGGGCTACATGACCCAGCCAATGTAGCCTTGCCTGCCAGATAATCTCACAGATGGGAATGTGTCCAAATCTTTCAAGGATTTATGAGCTCCTCTCACAACCCAGCCTGGTTAAACCCAGGATGGATGGTAGACATGCCAGCCGGAGTGTTTATAACCAGCCCAGGTGTTCCATTAGATGGGTCCACGTGTCACAAGCACAGAGAAGGGGGGGCATGACTGTGGCTGAGAAGACACGAAGCTTCGTGCGGAGCGACAGACCAGGTAACTTCCACACAGCATTGCACAGCCGATTAAAACATAATGCTGCTCCCGACTGATTCGGAGTGAGACCTTTGCTATCAAACCGGAGCTGGTCATAAGCACCCTACCCAGGTATGAGAAACTCTCCACTCTCTCCACAACTGCTCAATGGGCAATGGGGAGCTAAGGGGGTGGAGTGTTTGGTGGCACACAATACCCAGGCAGGTGCTTAATTTTGCTGGGGGTGATGGTAAAACCCCACCTCTTCATGGCACACCCCAGATTCAGCAGCAGCGCCTCCAACTCCTCTGCGTGAGCAGCAATCACCAGATCATCAGAATACATAACATGGTTGACAAATAGGGAGCCATCGCTCGACCGCACCTAGGCATCGATCAGCCTCCCAGTTGTTTCTGTACCAGATGGAAATTCCTCCGGTACAGCCATGGAAAGCTTCTCGAACTACTCTCAAAGACCTCGCACACACAATCGCCATTCACACTTACACAAACTGCACTCAATGATCACACACACAACACATATTCGTTCATGCCATTCAATTACTCCAGCCCAAGTGCCTGCGTTATGACCAACTCGGTCATTAAAGTCACCCACCACAATTACCCCATCTCTATGTAGCACTTTGGCCACAAACTGGGACAGGTCATAGAAGGCATGTGAACACAGAACACACACACACACTCTGACCGCACACAAACACTGAAGGCACCTTGCTGGCGCAGTCAAAGCCAGTGCCCAGCGTGGCGAGGGTGTGTACGATGGTCTGAGTGTTGTTGCACTTGACAGCGTAGAAGGGCCACACACGAGGAAGGGCGCCGAGCCAGCGCAGGTGCTTCCTGACGATGTCTCCCAGGTCCACCACGTAGAAGGCATCCTTCTCATCCTGGCAGGCGAGCACAGAGATAAGCAACGTGGACGTACATACACAGCCGAGAGGGATGGGGCTGATGCGGCACAGTAGGACATGTGTATTCGTAATTCATGCAGAACTCGCTTGTTAATTCCCCCCTTAATCATGGTTCTCAAGCATCAAATGATAGAGGGAAGTGCGTCTGTTGAGAAAGAAGCAGAGTAAGATGTTGAGTTTGAGTGGAATGGTTAAACGGTGGTAGATGGGCTTGATATCAGTGAGAGTGCGTTTGCGGTAGATCGACATTGTGGTATAAATGCGTCGACTAGGAGGTCGATTATTAAAAATGCGAATGCAATCAAGGAGTGTTGCGGCTCGAGCTACTCCCCCCCCCTCTGTGTTATCAAACACCCGCATCTGCCATGGAGGCATCCTCCTGAATTCCTCACCATCGCCACCTCCATCATCGTCGAATCATCATCACCATCAGATATAAACATTTTTAAACACATTGTTCTTTATAATGTATTATTTATTGTAGTCATTGTTATAAAACATTTACCATTTCTCCCCCTATGTGCACTTGTACTGGGAACGTAACCCACATTTTTCCCGTTAAACCTGTCAACCCCTTATCAGTGACTACCTGAAACTTGCCAATCCAGACCTAATTGGTCACCCGTGCCCTTATTAATCTCAATGTTCATCTTAGGGGCCGTCCATAAATTACGTCATGCACCTAGGGGGGGGGGGGTCAGACATTTGTGACGATGTGTGATGAGGGGGGGGGGGGGGGTTTGAGAAATGTGACGTCACATCAAAATACGCAACTCTACTTAATTAAATAGACTTTTTAATAAATGTTTTCTCCTACAACATTAGAGTGCAGCGCCACATTAAATACGCACTACAATGACAAAAGAGATTTGAAGCATGTTTAAAAAAATGGGGGGGGGGGGGGCAGAGCTTTGTGATGTCATATTTGAGGGGGGGGGTCTGACTTTTTGTGACGTTGTGTGACGAAGGGGGGGGGGGTAAAAAATCGTCCAAAATAGCGTGACATCATTTATGGACGGCCCCTTACAAAGTCCCATCACAAGGGAGAAACACAAAGACATACATTTTTTGCCCGTATTGAAACAGCTGTACGCTGTATGGAGCTGAAAATTAAATTTCCCTGTACAAGACTACGGGGTAAACCGTGTGGGTTGCCAGCTACAGTATGGGAATTCTACATTCGCGAATACTCTGCACGTGGCCCCAATGTGGTGAGGTCCCTGCCACCTAGTGGCAAATGGCAGCAGCTGCTGCTGAGAAATTAAACCATTATGTGTGTGTGGGCATGTATGTTATGTACTCGTGGGTGCGGTAGCGCTGCGCTACGAACCCCGGCGACCCGAGTTCAATTACCGCTCACGGTCAACACCTCCCCTAGGTCTACTCAGCCTCAAAGTACGTGGTGTGTGAACATCACCACTGGGGAGACGAAGGCGGCCGGGCGTGGTGTTGTCCCACCAACCCCCTCGTGTGCCGTGCCGGCCTTCAAAGGCGCTCGCTAACAGCACTTGCCCCAACAGTCTGATCAGGCTATACGGTGGACCTTTGTGTACTGTGTGTTGAACTTATTTTGCACCGTACGTAGCCAACCGTGCTAATCGGAGGTGCTGGAGGTATTTGTGTGTTACACATATTTCCATAATTCCCACATTAATACAGACTGTAGGGGCAGGTGCTGTAAGCAAGCACCTAGAAATGTATCCTACAAAACTCTTAACTTTTTTTTATGTCACCAGGTAAGGCCCACTGAGCTACATAGCTCTTTTTCAGAAGCGACTTCATCACAAATGATAGCCCAATGAAGCGGCGTGTCACGTGGAAATGTTTCGCAGCCAAATGACTCTAAACGCATGTTTCGAAATGTTGAGGGAACCGGAGGATTCGGAGAAAAATCTACGTCATCACGGAGAGAGACACGCAAACTCCAAATATGCAGGTGTCAGGGTTCGGATCGAACCCACGACCTCCTGTATACCAAGCAAGGTAATTGACATCTCGCCACCGTGGATAAATCCAATACCACGCCGGGCCAGCTTCATCTACCAAGCACTGATGTTTGCACACTACATCAAGTACTCATTTAAGGCGAAGTCAACCGAGGATATGCTCCTTGTGGCACTTGTGATATGCATCGTGGCCAGGAATCTAACAAACATACATCATGAGGCCTCCTTTGCCAGTACCAAAATATACTAATAGGGTTTTTCCCCTTTTTCTCTGGCAACTTGTAGATGCTTAGCCCGAGCTCTCATTACTCCTGATAGTGCGTTGTCTTTGAAATGTGCGCCTTTTGGCGTCATCTAGTCGAACGCCATATGAGACGAGGCTCTAAGAAAAGCTGTCTCTGGTGTGGACCAATCAGTTGCAAGGACAATGCATAAATTATCAGAGTATTGTTTTTGTTGGCATTTGACTGCAAGTATTTTGGTTAATGTTAACATGATTCCTTGCAAAAGGTGTCAGTTTCGTTGCCAGAAAAAAAGGGGAAAACCCCTATTAGTGCCGGGGTTGGTAAGCATTGCCTGGTTCCGGTCTTACCGCGTATTCTCCTTTGCTGAGCGATCTCAACACCTCCTCAGTTTCAACATCATCATCAAAAACCAGCAGCTCACTCTCTTCTGAGGAACAGCAGAATCATCATGAGTCAGCAGCAGGGCAGAAGTAGCAGCAGCCGAAGAATAATGCATATAATCAACAAGTGTCATCATCAGCGGCAGCAGCAGAATCAGTAATAGCAGCAGTTGAAACATCAACATCAAAGGCATCAGCATCGGAATAATCATCATCACTAGTCACCTCTTTAGAGCGCTGGTAAAATGGGAAACATCATATTCCACAGTGCATTTTCAGCAAGTAGTGTAAAAGAAATAAGCTTCCATGATTTGGCACCCGCCATAGGAACGAGGAATTTCCACCACTCGACCTGGACCGACGACAGAAATACGGAGCACCATCCAGCGTTTGTTCGCTGCAACGCGGTTCCTTTACTTTGACTTTGCAAATAACATCTTTAACAAGCATACACACGACTATGTATAATAAAAGTTTTTGGGTTAGATCGCGTAGGTAATGAAATGTGTCGTAAACCTCCACCACCCGACACAGCCAGTCAGGTTTGTCACGTACCCAACGTGCCAATTAGTTACTACTTTAGCCCACCGGTGTGTTGGAGAGTAAATCCACAACATTTACAATTGGCGTACGCCGTTTCGCTGGCATTACATCCAGCATCATTGGGCGATTTTCCAGAATAGTGAAGTAATCCACCTGCTTCCGCTCTTAAATAGAGCAGGACGACGTCATCACTGAATTCATCAGGTGCAGAGATCATGAGCAGGTGACATCACTCCGCATGGAGAACCCCCCCCCCCCCCTTCATTAATAATCATGAGCAGGTGACATCCTCCAAATGGACACCCCCTACCTTAATAATAATTAGCGGGTGACGTCACTCCACATAGGGGGGCGAGTCGCCTCCTCCAGCCTCCTCCCCCCTCCTTTACTCACTACAAAGGCAAAACCCTCACGTCACGCGATCTCCGTAACGCTGTTGAGACATCGAAGAAAAAAGGACATCATGATGAACAAGGGATTATAACCTTTAAATGAAAGAAGTCTGTGCCACCGCGGCCTTACAAATTGCACACGAAATATCACGTCGCGGTTTGCTTTTCGCTTGCAAGTTTCAGATTTACTGCAATACACCCGTTCTTGGACGGGCAAAAGGCTAGTTACTTAATAATACGCTTCCAGGCCGGACTAAGCCTGTAGCTGTCAGAGCGGTCAAAATTATTTGTATTTCTCGCAATTTCAATGGATTCTTGAAATAGTCTCAGCCAGTAATTATTCGTTTTACACAACACTTCAACGTTATCAAATTCAATTGAGTGTCTTTATTGGCAGCATGTTCGGCAACTGCCGACAGTTGTGTTTGAGAGTATTTAATATTTATTTGGTGTTTTTTTAGTCTTACACTAATATTACATTCCGTCTGCCCAATATAGCATCTGCTACATAAGCAATTAAGCCGATACACACCTTCTGTTGATAACTTAGGCAATTAATCTTTAGTACATGATACTAGTTTTAGAATTCTGTGTACCGTGCCAAATCTTACTTAAAAATTTTTGTTTTTCCAAAACTCTAACAGCAATACTGCTATATTCTTGGGTCTTTCGGTAAAGTCACGTAGATAGGTTCAAAGAAAATAATAAAAAAATAACAGAAAACTACGACGTTTCTATCACAACGCAAGCGGTCGTCTTCAGGAAAAGGGTGGTTAGCTTCCAGGGGCGGTTTCTTCATTAGGACGATTGGGCGACGCACCACCAATGTCATTCAACCACAGAGTTTCGCGAGCCGTTACTGTGCCTCTGGATATAGTCCAATCAGCGTCATGCTACGTTCTGTGGAGTACCGCCTCTTTTTGGGCGATTTCACTCCGGCTGAGAATCGCCCAGAGTGTTCCCATAGACTTACATTCAAAGATGTTTTTTTTCGAACGGCGGGCGCTGCAATGCATTCTCTATGGCTTCCGGGAGGGCTCGCACTAACGTGCTTACGTCATCATACGTAAGCACGTTTCATCCAACAATATTATTTGTCGCCACCTAGTGGAATCTTTAATAAAAGAAACTGAGTGGATTGTAATAATAGTGAGTATAGAAACAAACAAGATGTATTGTAAGAGTCACTTTATTTTGCATTAATATTAAAGAAGTGAAGTTGCCTTTACATGCTTAAGCTGTTAATTTATCCATTGCATGGGTGGACCTTATCCTTATCAATCATCCAGACATTTGCCCCCCCTGAGAGATTTTGCAGGAGCCGCCACTGTTAGCTTCTAAGGGAAACTATTTAGAAGGCTGATCACTTTCAGCAGTATTGCTGTTCGGTATTGGTTTGGCATTCAGTGCTCTGTTAATTTGAGCATTATTGTAGCCATTTAATCGTAGTGTAGTGAGTCCACCAGACGAAGTATGAGGGTCAACACTTTATTTTTCCGTGGGCTCACGCCATACGTGTCCACCCTGTTCCGTTCCTCTCCCAGAAGTGCCCCGATCGCCTCGCCTCTCCCGATGACGCCGCCTCTCTCTACATTTCCTCGTAACGTCATCTTTATATTGTACCCTCAAATCTCATAAGTATCAGCTCTACATCCACCACCCCTCCTCTGAAGAAATAGTCGTCCTCGACTAAACACAAACCATGCAAATCCATGGGATTCGGGGTAATCCTAACGGTAGAAAAAAAAACACTTTTATTGATCAACAAACAAGCAACTTCGACTCAACCGGAGTCCTGAACTTTGTGTGTGTAAGTTGTGGAATGCATCTGTATACAGAACAGAATTTAAGACAGCAACAAAACGAATAACCGTAAGACAAGACGGTACACACAACAGGTCAATCGGACCCCCCAACCGCGACATGCGAACAACCGACGAAAACCTCCGGCGCGAAAAAAGACTGCCGTTTTTTTTCTTCCATCTGCGGTCCTGTGGTCTTGCATGCGGTAGTTGTCTGTTACTGTGGGAGCATCACGCGGGCCCGTGCCCGGATAACTGGGCGGTGTAGCTGCGGCTCGGTCGGATGTTGCTTCACCTCCTTGGTAACGGATGGCCTAGGCTGGTTCGTCATGGCAAGTAACTTTCCTGACCTCGGCAGTGATGATGAAGGTGAGTGAAGGGATGAAGGTGTAGGCATTTGCGGTAACCCGGTTTTTGGCCAGTGTAGTGCATGGTTGTTCTTCCGAGTGTAGTGGTGCATCTGCGTTTGCCGTGTCTATGTGATGTGACATTACATTAGTACAACCTAAATCATATGGTCCCTAACTAAAAATGTCCTCAAAGTCTTGTAAAATTCCCGAAGGCCCTGACGCTGTGGCTCGGACAAGTTAGGATCCTGCGATATCATGGCTTCCAGCCAGGGCATAACTTCCTCGCTCGCAGGGTCAGTTGCATCCGTCATTATTCCTGCCTGCACTTCTCGGCCCCCTGCTGGCATGGGCCACACATGTGCCGAAACCGTTCCCCCATGCATAGTGACAGGTGTGGTTGCCGTGTTAAAAACTTGAATAAAATTTTTTGGTGGCGTGTCGATCCATGATCGCCATCGCTGGTGATACCAATATGGCTGTGTCTGGTCGAGCCGTCACAAGTGGTGTGCGATATTGAAGCGGAATTAAGATTTGTGCTGCTGGAGGTACCATGAGCGTCTCTTTTGTGACCGCCTGCACCTGAACGCAAGAAATATAGACATTCTCCCGACAGCATTTCGATGTACCCTTGGTCCGTCACAATTTTTATAGGGAGCTGGTTCAAATAGTCCGTCCAATCATACGGCCCGGGGTATTGGGGGCGGGACCCAGTATGGGGGCGTATGTGAAGGTCCGCCGCTCACCTCCGGTCCAATCGGATGCGAGGAGAGCAGGGGCGGAACCTAAGGGCAGAGCCAGCGGGGCGCTATGAGGAGGTCGGGATCTAGAAGGTTCGGTGAAGGGCGTGGTGAGAGGGAGGAGACAGGATCACGTGGTGAAGGGAATACAGGTGGGATCCAGGAAGGGCTCCTGGTCAGTTGGTGGAGTCACGAAGCAGGATCACGTTGGGTGGCCGGAGGGCACCCGCGCCATCAGCCACGTGGCTGGAGACGCTTCGAGCACACCGTCGGCCAACGGTGTGCGGGAGCGGGGAGCGGTGCGACTGACGGAAGGGCGCGCGCGGGGCGCGCACGAGGAGCAGCCAGTCCGCTGTCGGGACCAGCGGAGTCCGAGCGTCAACGAGAATAGAGAGAGACGGAGACCCAGCAGTGTGTCGGCGAGATCCTTTATTACACAGGGAACCGTAAACGTGCTGGAGATGAGTACAGGAACGGATGTTACTAGTTCTCCCACTCGAATTTGGGTCTCCAGCTGCCCCATGCTTCCCCCATTTGCCGCTATGTATGATAATTAATTGAATGAAACACAAGCACTGGGCCCTGTGGGGAAGCATATAAAAAACGTGCAGGGAGATAATAGTCACCGACTCTCCCGTGTCTACCAGCATCTGGAATTCAATTATCCCCACCGAGTCTACCACCACCGACATCCCCGCTGAGGCTGCTACTACCGTCCGTGTCAACTTGCGCCATTGTGTCCCCGAAGTCGGCCATCATTGTGGTGAAAAATCGCGTGTGTACGAAGGTGACTGTGATCGTCGAGAAGTAGCAGATACATTGACAGCCGGTGTGTGTGAGGTCTGCAATGGGAACTGCCGAGGTGTCTGGAGTGTCGCGACTCGCCTGCTGGTTGTACATAGGGGTAAAGAGCGGCCGTTGGTGTGAGTATGGCCCTGGTGGGGCAGCATCGACACACGCATGCGATGTGGCCCGTGTGGCCACATCGGTGGCAGGTCACCGGGTCCTGGGTCCGGCTGGATGCTCCGAATCCCCAGGGCATCCAATGACGAGTGCTCTGGGCCGGTTCCCAGTATGTCACCCTCACGGCCACCAGCATCTCCTCCTCGGGCAGTCCCACATCCATATCTAGTTCAGCGTCTTCTCCCACATTCCATTTTCTCTGAACACTCTCCAGTCCTTGATGGGTTTATGGGTCTGCTATTTGCGCAACCACACGTTGTGGCCTCATCACCTTCTCATGGGCTCTTATGCTCTTCGCAATCCACAATGAGGTCTGCTTGTCCTCATCAGTGACTGGCAAAACTATTTTAAAGGTCTGTGCCAGCGCTAACAGTACCCCTGCATCCAGGCCCAGGAAAGCAGCCTGTGCCAGGGCCATGAGAGCGCTTCTGTAGGCCAAGGCTGATTCCCCTTCTTCCCGCCGACGGTTTTGGAATCGTCTATTTGCACTGGATCGCGGGTCAAAAATCCTCCGCACGTGGCTCCAACGCTCTGCTGCTAAAGCCCGGAGTGGCCATTTCCTCTGGGCCTCGAGAATTTTGCACCATTTTTGTCCAATGGCGGTTAGCGGTGTCGGCCCCACTAAGGGTGATTCTCCCCCCTCCTGAGGGGACCCTTCCCCGTCTCGTTGTGGTCCCGGTGCTGTCATTTGTGGCGCCATGCTCTCACCCATTGGCGGCGCTGGCTTCTCCGTCTCTGGCGCTGTCATCTCCATTGGTCTGTCCTGTGTGGCGACCACCCCGGCTGTCCCTGTTGCCCGTGGCGTCCCCACAGTAGGACTTCCCGCTCGTGCGAGAGGAGAAGCCGCTGCGGACGCCAAGGGTGGCGTCGCCGGGTTAGCAGCGTGACCCCCTCTGTTAGTTGGTCGACCCAGTCCGCCAAGGGCCTCCCCTTGCGGGGTCGAGGGCCCTCCGATGTTAGTATGCTGTGCTACTCACGGGTCATGGGCCTCCCCGAGGTCAACTCAGCCTCAAATGAGTACCTGGTTTGGTGTGTAAACATTGCCCAAGGGGAGACAAAGGCAGCCGGGTGTGGTGCTGGCCACTCACCTGCTCGTGTGCCATGCCGGCCTTCATATAGCGTGTTAAAGCTACAAGGGGGATCGTTGGAGTGTTTGTGTGTCTACTCATTGCGACCCTTCTGACAAGCAAGCCAGCATCAGGACTCAAGGTAAGTGAAAATTAAACAGATTTTTCTTTCTTTCTATTTGTTACTTTATTTTGTGTTTTATTTACTATACAGTGTTTTTATAGTGTTGCATGTAATTGTACAATATTCCTTCTTAATTATGACTTTAACAGTGCTTCCCCTTTTTGTTGAACCGTAACACATTTCATAACATTGACCGTATGGGCATTTAAATGCAGTACATTATTTAGTTCGACTTACGAACGGGTCTCATCAACGAATTATGCCCGTAAGTCGTGGACTCCCTGTATGCACCTCCAGAAGGCAGTATAGCCAATGGGTTGCGGAAAGAATACTTGTGTAGTGACATAGCGCAGTCTGTTGGACAGCAGTAGCAACTGCAGGTGGGCACTTAGCGCACACGCCGCTGAGCATACACGCGGGTGTGCCGGCAGGGCGGAGGAACTGGGGCAAGGGTCATGATAGACCTTGTGTAGAAGCCCCTGAAACCCTCTATAGGGTTCGAGAAGGGAGGCGCGGCTAGGGCGGAGCCAAGCCGCACCGAGGAGAATATAAGCAGCGGAGAGCGAGAGCTCTGGGCTACCACTTCTGGGATTGGACTCGTCTCGTCGTCGCTGTCGTCGCTGCCGCCTTTGCCCGATCACTGCGCGGCCAGACAGTGGTTGACTGTCCTGGTCGACGCCGTCGGTGCAATGTGGACAGGATCGTGTCTGGGACGGGGCGTGCGGCAGCGGGGTCATGTGTGAGAGAGAGATGGGGCCCGAGTGGTGGTGTGAGCTTGGCAACAATGAATAAAGACGGTAGAGCGGTGCCTCCTGCGACCACATCGTCTCCAGCTGACTGTGTGTGCGATGCACGCCACCCGCACGCACAGACAACACTACACTAGCATACCTTTTTTTTAAGTGGACACGATACGGATATATATTGTGGGGGTTTTTGTTGTACCTATGTTGGGCGTAGTTGTTCTCTCATTTGCTGGCCACGTCTTCTGGGCTTGAATTTCACACAGTTCACTCAGGTGTCTGCTCACTCCACGCACGTGGCTGTTGCATACGTTTTCTGTCACACACACACACAAACGGCGAGTGAGACCTCTCGTAGCCAGTTTCATTTAGATATTAAAGGGCAGTAATCCCCTGTTTAACACGGTAGATGTGTTCCTGAAAAGTGCAATGTTAAGAGAAAACCGCGCTCAGCGAGAAATTGTTTACTGAATTAACTCATGGCGGGACAAAAAAACTGAGGTAACGGTACACTGCCGCATACTGTATCATTCCGCGTACCACATCGTACCACTCAGCGGTGCAACTCAAGAAAGTAGTTCATCATAAACCGCCTCATAACGGGTTCGTGGTCAGCCGTTAGCATTCTGCGTGAGTGTAAAATCCACCCGGTCATGAATATTAATGACGGGGGGGGGGGTGCGGTATGTGGAATGACGTCACTCACGTTACACACAAATCGACATTCTTGGCTCATTATAGTAGTAATAAGTGGATGTTAATAAAACATGCAACTAGTCGTATTCAAAATTCCCTGACAATGTGCTGTATTGTCATGTAACATTGTATCCTATCACCAAAGTTAACGTTTACTATCATGATGTTTAAGAATATTCATATGCAGTGGTTGACATTTGAACGTTTCAACATTCCAGGCACCGGGATTTGTTAATTGAGAGAGTGAAATGGCAAGGGTCATTCTCGGGTGGGCAGCGAGTTTTTATGGTGTTTTGTCGTGGGTCCTCCCTTGCATACATTTCTCTCTCAGAAAGTTCCCTGGGTCACTCCTTGCTCATGCAAGAGTTATTTATTTATGGCCTGTCATGAACGTGTTCCTCCTTTGCAACATGAGTTAGGTTAATTCCTGGGAAGAAAATATACTACGGATGCAAGGCCCTCCTCAGCTCTGGCTATTTTCATCATGCCCATCTGATCGATGTCTCTCGCATTCTATGTCCCTGCTTCTCATTCTAGTGCTGTTTTCGCTTCATTATCTTGTTTCCAAGAAGCCATGGAATTAAAAATAGAAAATATCACACTTAATATATATTTTTGGGAAAGGCTTATATACAACATTTGTCAACAACACTACGTGGATTACGTGATCTGCACTGGCTACCAGTCAGCTATTGCATACAATTAAAGTTAGCTGTAATTCCATGAAAAGCTCAAAACGGCCTTGGCCCTCAGTACCTGCAGTTCCGTCTGGCCCCCAAACTACCTTTTGCTCCTTAGGCCACGCCCTGCAAGCACAACCTAGAATTGTTACTCTACGCTGGGCGGTAGTCGGGGCCTTCTCGAGTGTGGCACCTAAAATGTGGAGTTCTCTTCCCCTGGTTCTCAGATTGGCTCTGAACACTGAACAGTTCAGGAAACTCTGCAATACTATTTGTTTTCTTTCAGCTTTTCCTTGATATTATTACGTGTCTTAATGCTATAGGTCGAACTAGCTTCGTTTAATTTATACTGTAAAGTATTGCGATGCCTTCTTTAGTGGGGGTGAGTGTTAACTCAAAAATACATTTTTAGTGGGTTCATTTGAGAGACACACTTGACTTAGGAGGCAACACATTTATTCTGACCACAACGGGGTAACTATATAGTGGCAACCACCACGGGGTAACTATATAGTGGTAACCACCACAGGGTAACTATATAGTGGTAACCACCATGGGGTAACTATATAACCGGGTCAGGTCAGTTAACGCACTACCTGGCCCACGATGCCGAGCGTGAAGACCGGAGACCAAAGAGACGTAGCATGGCGGGTTCTATTCCAGAAGACAGCCCCAATCGGCTCTCGGGAACCTCCCATTTATGCCCCTGAGCGTGGCCTGGCTCCGCCCTCAGCCACGCCCCCTTCTGGATCCTCCCAGGAGGTTCTGTGCCAAACACCACGTGTCCCTCTCGCCACCTTTGGCCCACATTCTTACCCTGTCCTGGTCACGTGCCCTCTCGGGTTCAACCAGACTGTCACGCAGTGGCGGCTCCTGCAAAATCTCTCAGGGGGGGCAAATGTCTGGATGATTGATAAGGATATGGTCCACCCATGCAATGGATAAATTAACAGCTTAAGCATGTAAAGGCAACTTCACTTCTTTAATATTAATGAAAAATAAAGTGACTCTTACAATACATCTTGTTTGTTTCTATACTCACTATTATTACAATCCACTCAGTTTCTTTTATTAAAGATTTCACTAGGTGGCGACAAATAATATTGTTGGATGAAACGTGCTTACGTATGATGACGTAAGCACGTTAGTGCGAGCCCTCCCGGAAGCCATAGAGAATGCATTGCAGCGCCCGCCGTTCGAAAAAAACATCTTTGAATGTAAGTCTATGGGAACATTCTGGGCGATTCTCAGCCAGAGTGAAATCGCCCAAAAAGAGGCGGTACTCCACAGAACGTGACATGACGCTGATTGGACTATATCCAGAGACACAGTAACGGCGAGCGTAACTCTGTGGTTGAATGACATTGGTGGTGCGTCGCCCAATCGCCCTAATGAAGAAACCGCCCCTGCTGTCACGTCCTTAACTGCTCTACCTCTGACAGTCCCCAGAACCATGCCCCCTAGGGCCCCCTTCCATACCATACTCTGGTGTCAGAAAGAGGCTCTAACACTCACAGTTCCACTCTTCTATCAGTAGCTGGCGCTAAACGCCATAGTGACCCATTATACATCACTAAATTGAATGGGAATGGATGAATAGGGATAACGGGATGCCCATAGACTAACATTGAGAAAACGGGATAGCCATAGACCAGGGATCAGCAACCTGTGGCTCCGGAGCCACATGGGGCTCTTTAATGATTGCAGTGCGGCTCTTGAATTTCGAAAACGATGGCTCTTGTTACTGTGGTTGTCGACCCCTGACCATGGAAGTCCACTTCTCCATGGCAGTCCAGTTTACAATGGGCAGGGGCTTGGCAACCTGCGGCTCCAGAGGCGCATGCGGCTCATTAAGGACTGTTTCGTCACATTATTTATTCAGGACCACTGTCTTGTATTCACACTGTAACGCGGATCTTGAACTATTGTTTTTTTTTACTGAATGCGAAACAAATGGGTATTATTGTTATTTTACGTCCCATGGTGATTGAAAGTGATTGGCACTACCTTTAATGAAACCTTTAATGCAAGAATGCATAACAGATTTGGAATGGTAACTCCTAACTAATTAGCAAATGGTGAGGGTACAAAAGGTATGGCCAATATACAGCACTGTATTGCCTATCGATATAAAGTCACACACCTTTGTAGTTCTATAGATTCACGTTCTAAAGTTTACCAATAGACGAGAGTCAATGAAATCACCATCAGAATACATTGTCCGCAGAAACACCACTATAAATTGCATAATAATACTATTACCAGGGGCGGCCCGTCCATATAGGCGAACTAGATGGTCGCCTAGGGCACCAAGTACTGGTAGGAACCTCTGGTTACACCAGCCCACAGGGGATTATTGTGTCCGTCCGTCGTGCAGGGAGGGGCTGGGTGGGGAGGGGAGGGTGGGGAGGGGCTGGGTGGGGCTGGGTGGGGAGGGGCTGGTCACCCCATGGTGCCCTTATAAAACTCAACGTTTAGCCTACTCACGCCGGCTTGTGCCCGCCCTCACAGTTGGGCATATTTGCGGAATACACCACGCCGCCGTTGACCCTGGCCATTGACCGAGCAACCCAACGTTCCTACCAGCTCCCTCCGCAGGAATGTGTTTAAGTGTGGCACCAAATTCGAGGAAAAGTAATAAAATGACCAGAGCAAGATGGCGGCAACGCCGCACAAGATGGCGCAGCAGCGATCTGCTTGATCCCTATTTTCCCTCTGCCATCCCTTACCTCCCGTACCCCTCTCTCCTTCTCTCTTCCCCTTCTTCCCGTCCTCCACCATTATTTGTTTCATTTATTATTTTGCCGATGCCTTTGTTTTTTTGCAGGCGCCACTCCCCCGACCACGTCTCCTGCCTGCTCCCGCGCCCATTGGGCATCCTCTAGGCAGCCTGGCTGCCACCGGTTCCTTGCTGGGCCGCACCATCGCCCGCACCGGGTGGCTTCCTCGCTGCCTCTTACGATGGGCACTGCTCCCCTCCCCCATCTCCTGCCTTCCCCCGCGCCCACCGGGCGTACTCTTGGTGGCCCGGCTGCCGGCGGTTGCCCTCCGGCCACCCCGGCGCCGTGCGACAAAAAGCATTAGCCTAGATCTGCCCTTGGGGGTGGGGGTGCCGATTGTATTGATCGCCTAGGGCGCCAGTTGGCAGCTAGCCTAGGGCCGCCCCTGACTATTACAACCTCTGTACATTCATTCTGCAAAAGATTCACACCACTACAGATGACATTCACATCACTATAGCCTCAGCAATAGTCACACCATTCTACTGTCCTGTATCCTGTATAATCCAAAGGTAATTCCAATACCGATTGCAAAGATGATGTCATGTAAATTTATCGGTGTCAGTTACTCCCAAAAAATGCAACGTATTGCAAAGCACTATAATTAGTATGTATTCGAAACCGTAATTGTGTCGTATTTACCTTTCAAATGTTGCCAACATTTTAAAAGCTACACCGCAGATTTACTCAATGGGGATCACACATGCATAGTAACCAGTGACGGTATGGGACAAACACACCGGCCCTAATTGGGGCTATGCAGTAGCTCGACGTTCCGATGTGACGAGATATGAGCGTGATTTTGCCATGCGATCTCATTAGCTCATTTGGGCTGGTGAGGAAGAATCTTTGGGGCAGCCAAATATGGGGACTTAATACCAACCAGTCAATAATAAGCAATGAAGTGTACACATTAGAAGTAATAAAATATTTGAATTAGAAACAGGTTTTTTTAATCTGATAATTTTTGCAATTTCCCCACACAGACCGGCCCCCTGGTCCTCGGAATGGACCAGCCTACTGGGGGCATTTGCCCTAAGGACTGCTGCCCTATGGCAGTCATCTCGACACTACTGCGAAAAACTTGGTAGGACCTCCTGAAAGAAGAGTCATGAGACTCAGTGAGGTTCTCGTGGGTCAAACAAGCGGGCTTTACTCGAAATAAACATCTTCTAAAATAAATTATTGCAACGTTTAATTAATAAGAATCAAGACAATACGATATTTTCCAAAATGGTGCGATATAATTACCGTGAGTCTCATATCGTACAAAATAATAACAGCACAGAAGTAATCATGCAATTTTTTTCACAAATAAACACCCCCGTATAGCCCACACAGACTGTTGGGTGAAGTGCTGTTAGCGAGCACCTATGAATGCCGACACGGCAGACGAGGCAGTGGGTGGCTAGCACCAGTAGAGATGTTTACACTCCGAACCAGGCACTAATTTGAGGCTGAGTCGACCTACACCGGTTGAAATAATCGTCACTGGTGTTGGCCATGAATGGGAATCAAACTCGCGTCGCCGGGTTCGTAGCGCAGCACACGAACCAATGCGCCACCGCTCCCCACATAACGCGCACATTGTCATGAAAAGGGAATTTCCAGCCGCGACTCGGAGGCTCTGCAGAGCCAGGTTCAGGTTTCCTGCTTCTCACAAATAACGTTCGACGAAACAGATGAGCAGCCTTCAGCAGTCTCTTAAAAGTGGCAGTGAATGGATTTGATGATGCTGCTGGTCCGTATGTGCTGCAGGGATGCAATTCCACCACACAGATCGGTGGGAATGAGAAGTTGATGGATGAGGACATTAGTGTCCATGTGTTTACCGAGGCCCGTGATTTGAGGACGGCCAGGTAATGTGGAAATAATAACAATAAATAAAAACAATGATATATTGGAATACTGTACAGCATCGTCATATAGCGCAGTACACGTTTCTGATCCACGCATCGTCATAGGAAAGATAATCACGATCATCGTTATGAATACAAATCCTCAGGATATATATTATTTATATCAAATTCACGATCACCATCCATGCATCTTAGACATAGAACAAAATCAGCATCATCGTCTTCATACATCAGCGTCATAAAGTATACATGCTAAAACATAATGTACATGTATTTTGCAATCCACTGCTGGATGGAGGCCTGCCCGCACCATGTCGGTCTTAGTGGTTGTTTGACCATACCTCAGCACACTGTTCAATGGGAGGGAAAGTGGTCGCCAGGACCGGTTCAGATGTCAATCACCAATGATGTGTTCGAGGTCGCCAGATCTATAGCGCCGTGTTCCAACCACTGTCACCATGCACCACTCCACATCAATCACTGCCATAACTGATGATTACGTCCACCATCTACTCATTACAATGATCTTAAAATACCACTCATACGATTAATTATCATAAATCCTCACGATGAGTCTTACCCATGTTAGTAAATAAGTCCTCTTCATTGAGCGCGTGTGACTTCGGTCTTGAATGATCTCTTGAGCATCCGGACTTATATATATAGTTGCATGGTGACCTAAAAGTGTATGAACATACTGTCCTATTTAGTATCTCTGTAAAGTAACCTCTTGATCTCTCTGCATGAATTTCAATGGTAAATATTGACCATGTTTCGGTGGGATTGAGTTCTCAAGTTATTGTGACATTTTATCAATGTTAACGATCATCAACCACAACCTCCACCCCCAAACATAAAAACATGGGTTTTTGAGGGGATGGCAAATTGAGCACACTCACTGCCCACTTCTGTTGGCGGTTTTTGTTCGAAGAGGAATAGGAATTCCGTGCGATGATTGTGCCATCCACTTGGTCGCCTCGGCAACGCACGGATCATACTCACTTATACCAGCTCTCCTACAGAGATTTTGGTTTCCAACTTTCCCAAAATTCCAATGCTTCCCCAATTTTACCGCTACGTAGGATGACTGTACAGATGGCAACCGCTGGGCTCTGTTGGGAAGCATATCAAAAACCTCAATTCCCCCCACCGAGCCTGCCACCACTTGCGCCATTGTGTACCCGAAGCCGGCCATCATTGTGGTGAAAGATTGCATTATACGATGGTGGTTGTGATCATCGGGAAGTGGCAGGTGTATCAACTGATGGTGTGTATGAGAGGTCTGGGATGGGGAATTTCCGAGGTGTTCGGGGTGCCGCCACTTGGCTTCTGGTTATATGTAGGAGTAGAGAATGGCTGTTGGCGCGAAGTCGGCCCGATGGAGCAACTTCGGTACGGCACCCGTGGGTGATGTGGCCGGCATGGCCGCATCGGTGACAGGTCACCGGGTTCCGACCTCGGCTAGGTGCTCCGAGTCCTCGGGGCGTCCAGCGATGGGTCCTCTGGGTAGGGCTCCAAAACGTCCCCTTGCATCCGCAACATCTCTCCCCCAGGCAGCTCAATGTTTACATCCGTCTCGGCGTCGTCCTCTTTGTTCCGCGTTCCCGGAACCCCCTCCAGTCCTTGATATTTTGGTTCCGTTAATTGCGTGACCATACGTTGTAGCCTCATCACCTCCTCATGGGCTCTTATGCTCTTGGCGATCCACAAAGAGGTCTGTTTATCCTCCTCTGTGACCGACAAAACTATTTCTAAAGCCAGTGCCTGTGCCAACATACTGTCCGCCACCATAAAGTCCAAGGCCCCCGCGTCCAGGCCTGGGAAAGCAGCCTGTGCTAGGGCCATGAAAGCACTGCTATAGGCCAAGGCTGACTGTCCCTCTTCCCGCTGACGGTTCTGAAGTTGTCTTTTCGCGCTGGATGGCGGGTTAAAAATCTCTGCCATCTCTCGATGAGCAGTTTACAGGGTCTTCTTTTTACGCTGGAATTAAGGAATATATAGTTAAAACATTGTCGCTAAGGGCCATAGGGAGAGCCTTCAGTGCTTCAGGCTCTGTCCACTCTAGATATGTATAGGCCTCCTCGAATCGAACAAATGTTCTCCATACTTGTTGGTTCTTTCGGTAAAGTCACGTAGGTACAAAATAAATTAAATCACGACGTTTCGGGCGCAACACAAGTGCCCGTCATCAGGTGGAAACAACCACAACAATAAACAGTTGCTTAAGTGGGCAAAAGGAGGCTGCTTGTGACACGAGGCTATATATACGTAAGAGGGGGGGGAGGAGCCAGGGAGGAGAGATAAAGAGGGTGGGGGTGTGGGGTAGGGGGAGTGGTGAAGTGTAAGCCCCAACCCGAGCTCAAGTACAACACAATGCCGGGTCTGGGAAATGAGTGGAGCTGGAGAGTAGGAGGCTGAAGAAACTGGAGATGCGGATACAAAGGCAAATTATAAAGCAGTTACGTTTTTACCTGGTTAATAACATCCTTCCAATGATTGCTCAATTTGTATCCATCTTCTCAGTTGAAGTTATGTCTATGTTTATATATCTGGATGGCTTCATGAACAAACCTTTGATAGTAGCCCAAAGGTTAGCAGAGCACCTTGGTCTCGGAAAAAACTATATCATGAGAGCCCACAGCGTTATAACAATGGTCAGCCACGGCGGAGGTATTAGTCCTGCCGTGTTTCAGATCTGCCTTGTGGTCGCGAACACGGTCGAACAAATGCCATTTCGTTTTCCCAATGTAACAATCACCACAGGAGCAACTTAGATTGTAGACTCCTGGATATTGCATGTCAGGAATGACATCCTTCACAGATGGGATTAGATCACGGATTTTGATTCTGATGTCACTGCAACCGTGGCCCCGAATCAATCTCGGGCTCGCAATGGAGTGGACAAAGCACTGCGCCACCATTATAACCCCCGAAGGTGACTACTTCATTATCACTTCTGGATGAAGGGCCTTGCAAAGCCTTCACCATCCCTAAAGTATACAAACTTGAATAAAAGCTGTTCGTGTGATATGTTTGTATTCTTCAGAGCAGAAACTCAGAATCAAAATCTTTGTTTAGAATGGAAGAATACAATGAGCTATGAAGCTCTTTTATATAAATGTCCAGTAGGGGCGGGTCAGAAAGTCACAACAACAAATACAAAAACTGATACGAGTGCAAAGTATAAGAAAGCTAAGCAAGATACTTAACATCGATAAAAAATACAAAGCATACAAGTCCAAATTTTATTAGAAAGCTTTGCTACGGGAGCTGTTTGCAGAGCATGGAGTGGGAAAAGTTGTATTTACAGAACTTTCCAACAAAATTCACTTCCATAGATTCCTTGCGACTTTATTATCGCCCTTGCACAAGAGACCATGTTTCACACGGTGTCCTAATGGCTTTATGTCCTGATCCAAAAAAGTATGCAAACACGTGAATTCAGCAAAGGGTCACGCTGACTAGAACAGCTTATCTACGCAGTGTCATACATTAAAAACATGCATATTTGGAGATGCAGCCATGTGGCTTAGAGGGCAGAATACTGAGCAGACACTACTGCAACCCTGGATAATGGCACCAAGGTAGCGAGATTTTAAGTATCTTGCCTGGTATACAGAAGGTCGTTGGCTAAATCCCAACCCTCATACCTGCATATTTGGAATTTGCATGTTCTCTCTGGTCGCGTGAATATTTCTCCAGGCCATCCACATTTAAAATCAACATGCGTTTAGAGTATTCGGCTACTATACATTTCCACTTGATGATAATCCACTTCGTTGAGCTATCATTTGTGGCCAGGCCGCTTCTGAAAAGTGCCACATAGCTCAGTGGGCCTTACCTGGTAAAGCAACAATTTTAGTTTAAGCTTCAGATTTAATGCATGTGATTAAACCAGACCCTCAAGTTCAAATAGTTGATTGGCTCAGCCCGGTCACCAAGGGCTACACACAATAAAAACCCAGCAAAGTAACATTTGGTTATCAGAGGAGGGCCACTTTCGCCAAATATACACCATCAGCAGTGTGAGGGCCGCCACACATTTGAAACCACTGGGTTCGATAGCATGATGGGGGTGTTTTCACATGTGCGTATTGTCGGGACCACACGTCAGGGGCCGCACTAAAGGCCGCCAGGGGCCGCCAGTGGCCCGCGGGCCTTGCAATGAACACTGCTCCAGATAATGGAAGGAAAAAATTACCTGTATTTGGATGTTTGTCCAATATCTTTTAAATGTGTTTTGTGCGACAGATGAAAGCCTCCCCATGCCACGTCAGTCACGCTGCTCAGTACAGATTGGTCAAGGGGGGGGGGCCCAGGATCAGTAAGGATATCACTCGTTGCCGAGTCTAGTTGTGTCCTGTATCTGTTCGCAGGTCACTAGCGCAGTGGAGTACACGGAGAAAATCAACCACAAGCTTTAGATGTCCGTCTGCACAGATGGGTTTCACAAACCCACTCGTTGTTTAAGCATCTCCTGGTCACCCAACGGCCCCGTGGGTTTGGGAGTTGCACAAATCTCTGCGATCCATCAACCCTTGCCTCGTCCAATAAGCAGATTCACACCATCATCATCATGTCAGGAAAAGGCCTTGCAAGTTGACCACATGACCACTTCCATCGCGGTTCATTACAGGTCTCCCTCGATTTACGAAAGGGATGCGTCGTAAAAAAACACACGCGTGACACGGAATTGTTCGTAAATTGGAACGGCTTTCCGCATGAATTTAATGCCAAAAATTTGGGATGTATCTTCTTGGTTCTTTCGGTAAAGTCACGTAGAAGGGAAGTAATAAAATAATAAAAATAAAACATAATAAAATAATTCTCACGACGTTTCGGCCACAACGCAAGCAGCCGTCCTCAGGTGAAAACCAGGTCCGTCGAGGCGACAGAGTCTGAATGAAGCAGCACACGAGCTTGGAGCATATATATAAGCTGGGCGCATTGACAAAGGAATTTGCATATCAAGAGGAATTTAGCATATTCATAAATTCCTCTTGATATGCAAATTCCTTTGTCAATGCGCCCAGCTTATATATATGCTCCAAGCTCGTGTGCTGCTTCATTCAGACTCTGTCGCCTCGACGGACCTGGTTTTCACCTGAGGACGGCTGCTTGCGTTGTGGCCGAAACGTCGTGAGAATTATTTTATTATGTTTTATTTTTATTATTTTATTACTTCCCTTCTACGTGACTTTACCGAAAGAACCAAGAAGATGAATCCCTGCAGTCACGAAAGCTTTAAATCGAAATTTGGGATGTGTTTCGGACAGTCATTCCAACTCTCCTCCTAACTTAAAATATACGCCTATATCACTCTTCACAATACGAAAATAATGAAGAACGTTAGAATAAGTAATTTTAAACAAAATCAATCTTTTCAGGGAACTCGCCAAGAGATCTGCACGTTGGAATGGCTGGCAAGGTGAAGTGGCTGCGTTACCGTTGCACTGCAGGGATACCGTGACGCCGTCATGGATGGTGGACGCAGCCTCCAGAGTGCTTCTTGTTTGATGATGATTATGGCGCGTGCCGGAGTGAAATTTCGTTAACGCAGAAATTCGATCTCGTTCATCGAAAGGTCAATTGTGTTCACGCCAAATTTCGTAAAACAAACGTTTGTAAATCGACGAAAACCTGGATGCTTAAGACACTCATTAGTAGACAATGCCCTATGGGAATTTAGCTCTTGATGGCCTAAAAGCTACAAATATACATCTACAAATAGAGGGTTGGACTTCACCTTAACTCTTAAAGGCTGCAGGTAGTAATTTATAGATGTTATGGTTTCTATTGAGGTTAGGTTTCATACAGGGAAGGAGTGTTAATAGTATGTATATTATTAATGCTACCCCTATCCCCTCCCTTTGATGCCGCTAATCCTGCATAATGCACGGGCATAAATAGTACTAATCACATACCTGCATTTCCCATATCCCCTCCCTTTGATGCTGCTAATCCTGCATAATGCACGGGCATAAGCAGTACTAATCACATAACTGCATTTCCCATAAATATGCTAAATTCATCTTGATATGCAATTTTTTTTGTCAAGGCGCCCTTTCCCCCCCTTCCAACCCAGCTTAAATATATGCTCCAAGCATGGTACTGTTTCATTCAGACGCTGTCTCCCCGACAGACCTGGTCTTCACCTGAGGACGGCTACTTGCGTTGTGGCCGAAACGTCGTGAGAATTATTTTATGTTTTATTTTATTATTTTATTATTTCCATTCTACGTGACTTTACCGAAAGAACCAAGAAGATGAATCCCTGCAGTCACGAAAGCTTTCAATCGAAATTGAAGTCCGGATGTTTGGGGTTTAAAGTAGTAAAATCAAATCTGTTGATGATGAATTAAGGTCACGTTGACACAAGGGTTAGCGTTAAGGATCGGGCGGGTTTAAAGACTTAAAACTTTCGTGACTGCAGGAATTCATATTCTTTGGTTCTTTCGGTAAAGTCACGTAGATAGAAAAATAACAATAAAAAAGTGAATACAAATGATAAAAATAATAAACCAAAAAAGCATTAATGTAGACTGGAGCCTGGTTCTTAATCGGAGTGAGTGTACTGGCAATCCATAATGTAGACTGTAGCCTGGTTCTTAACCTGAGCGTACTGGCAGTCTATAATGTAGACTTATTCTTGGTTCTCTCAGATCATTTAAGGTAACTTGGCATGGTTTTTGCATTGCTCAACATCCAAGTTGAACACTAAAAAATATTTGTATCTGTACAAATGTTTACAAATGAATGACCGAGATAACAAGGATTACGCACCCATAGTTCAATGACACTGGCTCGTGTACCGCCATGATGTCAGGTGATGTCTTCGAATGAGCATTACGAGTACTGCAAGTCCTCGCTTAACGCATGTTCACACAACACATTTTCGCTATTTCATTCTTCTGTCAGGGAAACCCTTTTGGCACATCGCGGAACGTGCACCATTATAACGCACACGCCCGTTAAAACGCGGTTTCTGAGTGGTCAACGACGAACTATTTTATTGAGCTGCATAGCCGAGTATTGCGATACAGTAACGTGGCAGCGTACCCTCAGTTTTGTCCCACCATCTCTGTGTGCGCGTGTGTACATCGTAACTCGGCAAACCTTATTCTTACATTGTGGGGAAACTGTTTTCGTTGAAACTGTCTATTGCTTTCCCCGGCACTTTTCGGGAACACATCTAACACGCGAAACGAGGACTTACTATACTGGGGTTGCTGTAGTATTTCACAGGACAGTATAACATTTCACGTGACGATTATGGCAATATCAGTTTCCCATAACGTTTAATTATACTTGGAACTATATTGTATAATTTTATGGTATTGACTATCGTGTGCATTGCTGCAATTCCAGTAAAAATAGGATTCCTTTAAAGTTCTCATTGGATTTGACTGAACATCATTAGTAAGTCAACTCATCGTTCATTGCAGCTTTACCATCTAGAACACTAATAATGCACACGCTGCATTAATCTGTACAGGAAAATCATTGCAGCTATTTAATTGGACCTTGAAAATATTTTTCACGTCATTTTCCTCATATTTCATCAGGAAATACGATACCAATAAAAGACCCGAGTTCAATTCAAGCTCACGGCCAACACAAGTGATAATTATTTTAACCGGTCCCAGGCCTCCCCAAAGTCGAGTCAGCCTCAAATGAGTACAGTAGAACCTCTGGTCACGACCATAATTCGTTCCATAACTTTGGTCGCAACCCGATTTGGTCGTGACTTGAACCTAATTTCCCCATTGGATTGTATGTAAATACGATGAATCCGTTCCAGACTCCTACGAACTGTATATAAATATTGTTTTTTAAAGATTTTTAAGCACAAAAATAGTGAATTATGCCATAGACTTCACAGTGTAATAGTAAACTAAATGTAAAAACATTGAATAACACTGAGAAAACCTCAGTGTTAATCGTTCAACAAGATGATTGTTTCGTCTGCTACATCAGTCGGTCGATTCTGAGAGAGAGAGAATATTCGTATGAGCGATTCATGTTTCGATTGAAAATAAGTTAACAGTAATATTTGGGTACACTATTGCTTTTGGAAGCATTCACCGTAATATCGTATGAACGTTTACTTCACCGCATCATCGTATGAATGATGCGAGAAGATATTAACGGGTTCTTATGTTAGCGATTTACCTACTCAGTGTTTTCGCTCTCTAAATTACGGCTTGAATGAGGGGGGAGGGGTATGACTACACTCACAAAATTAATATCTTACTAGGAATTTTATATAACAAAAGTTATATATATAACTGTTACGCTTTGTGTTGTTTGTTGTAAACAAACAACAGGAAATTTGGCGCTTATAAAAAATTGCGCGGAAGGGGAAATCGGCCGCGGCCGTGTTTGATCGTCACCCGAGTTTGTGTTCGTGCCCAGATTAAAAAATGTTGTGAATTTTTTGGTCGTAACCCGATTTGGTCGTGGTCAGAAGCGTTCGTGACCAGAGGTTCTACTGCACATGGTGCGGTGTGTAAACATTGCCACTAGGGAGACAAAGTTGGTCAGGCATGGTGCTCCCGAACAGCACTTTCCCCAAACGTCTAGAGGCTTTAAGGGGGATCTTTGTATTTGTGTGCATACTAGAGCAAAACGTGTTAATGTCCTTGTATAAATAAGCCAGCTGTATACAGGTCAGTTATATAAAATGTGAGCTTAGTACAGATGACTTGGTTGCCTACAGGCGAGTCAGGTGTGGAGAGGTCAGTTGTGCGGGCAGGTGAGACGAGGCGTGTAGATTCGGCGTCTTCAGATGCGGTTGCTATATATATGTAAACCGCATTGTATTACCATATTGTCTGAGTGTGCAGGGGTACAGGTGTACTCAAGGGTTCAAAAGCAAGCCTAAGTACTACTGATGAAACACAGAATGTTGAAAACGATTTAGTTTGCTTGAACTGAATCAAGAACCAACTCTGCTGATAAGACGCACTCCCAGAAGGCCGGGCGGCCGATCAGTTATGTAAAAACTTTATTTTTTTTTATGCGAAGACACAAATATGGGAAGGGGGGCGTTTATTTATTTACTTTGTTGCACGTGTGCGCTCGCCTGCAATGTCCTCAATGAGGTCCACCCCTGCCCCGGCCCCCACCTCGTCCCCTTCCGCGCCCCCCACCCCTCCCCCTGCCTCCCCGCCACCCACCCCGCCCCCCACGAGCCGTCCCTGGAAGGCTCCCAGCCGAGCGCCGCAGCTCCTTCCGCTCGCGGTGGTGCTGCCTCTCGGCCGTGTGGCGCCGCTCCTCTCGCTCCGTCTGCGGCGGGGAAAGACAAGCGCGGCGCTCCGGTTAGCGGCACGCGCACGCCTCCAACCACGCGGAGGGCCACATCATCGACCACGACGCCAACCGCATCGACCGCGACGCGGTGTCGGCCACACACGCACATGTGCAAGGGCCCGCAAACACACACACACCATGTGTCTTTCCACTGCACCTCCGATTAGCATGGTTGGCTACGAATAGTGTGAAAGGAGTTCAATATATACATACGTACATGTGTGGTTGTTGGAACAGTTATACTTGGGGACTTGTGATCGTGGAGTGTTTGGATGGTGTTTGTGTTGGTGGTGGTGTGGGTGGCTAAAACACAGAGATTTGGCACAGTGGGCAACACATTTGGTGCATCTGCAAGTTACCGCAGTCAACCCATGGTCTGTTCTGTGACCTTCTGCTAGCCGGCCTTCGACACTTCACATGGCCTCAAAGTGCACCTAGCATGACACAAGTGTCATGGCGACGCCACCACCACTCAGTGCTGAACGGCGGTTGTTGTTGGGTGGTGGAGTGTGTAGGTGGTGGGAGTATGTGGGCGATGGGCATTGCACCACCTCGTGTCTAAACAACCGTGGAAGATGACATGGGAGTTGTCAAGCCACATCAACTGCCCTCTGGATCCACACTCGGTGCACTCCTATGCCTTGCAAAGAGCCAATGACACCCTCATTTTTAATTCTGGTATCTGGAAAAATCGATATTAAGTGACAAACCAAATTTAATGAGCAGTCCCGAGGATGAGCGTCAACTCATCACGGATGAGCGAAACACGGGTTCGAGTGCAGGATCTCAACGATGACAGTGTTGCATCTACGACATGGCCATTATGAACTCCTGGGCCAACCCGGCCATTCAAAGAGTCACCTTCTTGAGACGGAAAGTCAACTCCTTGCTGCCCACGGAAGAGTGTGCGAGGCCCACGGGAAGATCAGACTCCTGTTCCTTCACCCGATCGGCAAGCGAGGACCTGGAGCCAGAGACAGGGACGCGTAGCAGATAGTGAGCGCTTTTGTTAATGGCCTCTCGCACGCACGCCGGGCTCCGGTTTCCTCGCACATGAAGCCAAACACATGTATTAACGAAATTGTCTGAACACTGAATGACGATGGAAAGCGACAGGAATATTGTAGTGAAACAGTGAGGTGCCAAAACAGAAGCGACACGAGTCTTGGAGAGAAGGGGAGAAGTTGTACGCACGTGAGGCTTTTCCGCTTCTTTGCAGCATCCTTGAAGCTGTTGAATTCCACTCCTTGCCGGATTTCGTAGAAGCGTGGCTGCTGCTGCTGATCTCTTGTCGTCATCGTCCCAGCAGCAGAATCGGCTTCCTCATTGCCTTGCCACGGTCGTTTCCTTCCCGAAACGTCTGTCTTTCCACGACCACCACCACCACCACCAGATCCCGGTCCGGAGGCCGCCCCTCGCCGCAACTCCTTGCCGGACGCTTCGAGGCGAAGCAGCTTGTACTGCCTCTGCACCTCGGGGACCCAGGAGCGATCGTCGTCCGAGCTGTCGTCCGAGCTGTTGCGTCCGTCGGGCTCCGAGTCGTTCTCCTCGGTGGCGGAGATTTTCTGAGGATGACAGAAGGCGTTGGGGGTGGTGAGATAGGGTGTGCGGGGTGGGAAGGAACAGCACAGGGCTCTTAATGGTCATGTTGGAGGATACAGCAAGTGGACCTAGAGCAGGCCCAGGACTGGTTCAGACATCAGTTGCCAGTGATGTTAACCGCAGTCGGGAATTGAACCACAGGTCTCTCTGTGTTTGTAGCGCAGTGTGGAAATCGCCACATGCTCACTCACAGTGACTCGCCCACCGAAAAGACAATACACAAAGAGTCCCCGTATAGCCTTTACAGACTGTTGGAGCAAGTGCTGTTAGCGGGCACATATGAAGGCCGGCACCGCACACGAGGAAGGGGGTAGATGGCCAGAAAAACGCCTGGATGCCTTTGTTTTCCCAGTGCTGATGATTGCAAATCACACCCGGTACTAATTTAAGGCTGAGTCGACCTAGGAGAGGGCCCAGGACAGGTTAAAATATTCACCACTGCTTCTCGCTCTCACTCTCACACACCCCACTCACCCACACTTACCGACCCCACTCTCTCACACCCACCCACACTCACTCTCTCTCTCTCCCGCTCTCACCCTTTGCTCTGCCTCTCGCTCCATGCCCTTGCGCTTGCGTTTGCGTTTCTCAGTGGCGCGCGACACCACGGGGTTGAGCAGGCGGAAGTCCTCGCTCTGCTCGTCCACTTGGAAGTCTGGGTTCTCGAACATCAACCGGAAGCGGTCGTCCTGCAGGATGCTGCCCACCGACGCCTGCGCACGTGGAGTGGCAAGGGCAGGAAGGGCGGAGGTGGAGCACAGGGGGGTTGGGGGCAGAGGGCCAAAGATGGAAGTCAAAGGGTGGAGGGAGGAGGGTGGAGGCCGGAGGGCAGGAGGGTGGGGGGTAGAGAGTGGGGGGGGGGGGGCGGAGGATGGAGGGTGGGGGGCGAGGGCAGAGGCCAGGGAGAGATTTAAGAATTTAGTGAAATGGCAAAAAAACATGCTTCGAGATTTAATTTTACATTGTTGGGCTTAGGGTTAGGTTGACGAATTTTCCTTTCCGAACGATCGCAGGAAGCAATGCATCACCTTGTGTGCGGAACATTCTACTGAAGTCTCATCACTGAATGACCTTTGAGGCCCCTCAAATGACCTTTTGGCAACATGCCCAGGGGCACTGCACAGTCTAAACATGCTCTGCCACAGAGACATATTTTTGTTGGATGGCAGTCCAGAATGATGTATTTCATTCTCAGAACAGGATTTTAGCCAAATGCAGTTGGAAAATAAAACTAATTTGACGCGAATGCTTTCTTGTGTGCAGGCATCGGTGACCATGCCAAGAAGCCGGTTTAATCACGGGCGGCCAAAACCCGGATTCAAACGCAGGTTTGCCAGTGTTGCTGACTCAGTGTCTCTAATGCAGCATTACCCCTCTCCTGAACTGCCCGGCCACATACATTTTGCACAATTTTCAGCTGCTGCATAAGCCTTGCAGGTTCTCAGGAGAAATCCCCCGCATTTCACTTTTAAGCATTACCAATTGACACACATCGGTCAAAGGCCCCAACCATGGATTGTGCACCGGAGGCCCTCATAATGAATAAGTGGGGCCCCAGTGATTGGAGGTGACCTCTGACCTTCTTGCGCTTGAGGGCTCGTGAGGAGGTTGCCTCGTCCTCTTCGTCATCCAGCAGCTTCTGGGCGAGGTCGGCGTTGACGCGGGGCAGGCGCTGCTCACACACACACACACATGGGCGCACGTGTGAGTGTGTACGCACGGGCGTGTACCTGTGAGTGTGTACATACAAGTGTGTACATTCGAGTATGTTCAGGTGTATACACACAGGTGTGCACGGAGGAGTATACCTACATACCCGTGTCTACACACACACATGGCAATGCATCGCACCATGTTAGAGAATGGTCCAAGGACGTGGCTATCACAGAACTTATTCTGAAATCTCTTCGAGTGACCAAATCCACACACGAGGGGATATTTTGGCATGGGCCCTGCTACAGAGAAATATTTGTCATGGAAATTTTACAAATTCATGAAAAATAAATGTAGTTTTTGTTGCACAGCCACTGGCGACTGTGCTAAAACAACTCAATACTATACTTGAGCACCTAGGTTTAACCAAGCCCAGCATATCGGCGCTGCCGATTCCTACGGCGCCCATTCCACGCTCACGAGAGCCGCTCCCGAAGTATCGACGCGTCAGGGGGCACGCCCAGTCGGCGGGGTGGGGGCGGTCCGGTGGGGGACGGCGCTTCTCGGTAAACCCACCTTGGTCTGGACTCGCTGGACTCTGCCCTCCTCGATCTTCTCTCGAATCTTCTGCTTGCGGTACTCGTCGTAGGCGAACGGGTTCGCCATGGCCTTCACCTGAAAACGCACGCGGGGTGCCGTGTCACAATCACAACGTTCACATTCGAGACTGGGGAAATCCGATAAGATGCGGAGATTTTTTTTCTCACAGATGTCCAACGGGACGGGAGCGCCTAGCCTCCAACAGGGCCAGGCCTCCAACAGGGCCAGACCATCACCTCAAGGAAACCCATTTCAAAGAGAGTCGGGTAAAGGAAGATTAAATGAGGTGATGATTCACCCACACCGCCACCCCTCCCACCAAGCTGACCCACACCCTCCCATCCAACGGCCCCCTGCTCCCAGAGAATAAATGAATCACATGTGACAATTCGATCAAGAATCGATAATTATTTTTACTAATTTTAATCGCCTCATTTGTACATGTTTCCCCTGTTTATCCCATCGCATTCGCCGTCTCTCAAACGCAAGATGAACCAGGCGGGGCGATGGCAAAGCAGCCATCAACAGCGAAATCCCTGGGAACTTTCAACAACAACCGTTTCATTTGCACAAAGCGTCGTCCATGCAAGACACCACTCCCAAAAGGCTGACCAACTGTGGCATTGACGAATCGACGCGTAATCCCAGTTGTAATTTAAAAAGATTAGGAATCACGAAATGGGGGATCGTGGTGGGGGGGGGGAGGGGAAGGTGGTTTGGCGGGTGTGGCGGTGACGAGAAATAGAGGTGAGAAACGCTGGTCGGGAGAAACCATCATCGTGGCTCTGCGAGCGGAACCTTGTGGTAGAGGCGGATGTCGATGAAGAAGCCGTGCATGTAGGCGCGGAGTAGTGGGGAGCCCACGAGGTGCGTCAGACCTGCCACACGCACATGAGAGATGGCCACATGGCGTGATATGCAGAGGAGGCACGCTCACACAGACACACACGAAGACAACCCATAAAGCCTTAACAGACTGTAGGCACAAGAGCCGTTAGTTATCACGGCACACGAGGGGGTTGTTGGCCATGAGCAGGAATTGAACTTGAGTCGCCGGGTTCATAGCGTAGTGCGCCTAAGGGCTGCACTCCAGAAAACCCTAATCGCGACCCCGAATCGTGACGAGTCATCAAACCACGCAGGGAGCCGAGTGACCGGGTCAATTGTCGCCACGTGCCTCTACCGACGCGATTTTGTTTCTAGAGTGTGCGTAGGGGTTGCATTCTCGGTGCTACGGAAATCCCTGCTGGTGCCGCTGTTGGTCTTGGTGGTGTTGGTGGCGGTGCTGCTGGTGTTGGTGGTGCTGGTGTTGGTGGTGTTGGTGGTGCTGGTGGTGCTACTCTAGGAGCTGGTGGTGTTGTTGGCAGTGCTGCTGCTGGTGTTGGTGGTGGCAGTGCTGCTGGTGCTGGCGGTGCTACTAAAGGTGTTGGTGTTGCTATTAGTGGCAGTGCTGTTGCTGGTGTTGGTGGCAGTGCTGCGTGCTAACCGAGCGCTTCAAGGTCGGTGCGCGTCAGGAACTTGTAGTCGTCGTAGACGGTGCTCTCCGGGTTCTCCTCCAGCTCCTCCGTCAGACTGTCGAGGAACGAGCACCATCGCGGGGCTGAGCCCAGCGCCTGAATGCGCAGATGGGAAAATCGCCGCTGCAATGCACTCAAATGTAAAGACACGTGGCAGCTACCGCCTCTACCCCTCGACTGCCAGGGTAATGCTCGTTTCCACAGGGTCAGCTACCCCTAGGCTAGACCCCACAGCAATCATCGCCCTCCTCCCCCAATGGCAGACGAATGCCCGTTTGCAGGCCAGGTGCCGAGTCACCTTGTGCCGCACAGGGACAACCGCTACTGGGGGTGCCCTTTCACGCAAGTTGAGATGTGATGGGAGGTGTTTCGAGACGCTGCGGTGTACGCGAGGGCGCTCTGATGGACTTTGAGGTCACGGGACAGACCAAGATGCCATGGATTAACTGAAATGACTGATAGATGCACAAAGACAAAGCAAGCACCTATGAAGGCCAGCACAGCACACAAGGGGGGTAAGCTTGCCAGCAACCCACCCAGCTGCCTTTGTTTCCCTAGTGGTGATGTTTACACACAGCACCAAGTACTCATTTGAGGCCGAATCGACCTCGGGGAGGTCCAGGACCAGTTCAGATAATCGTTACTGGTATTGGGCGTGAGCAGGAACCCAACTCGGGTGGCCAGGTTTGTAGCGCAGTGCGCTAACCGCTACACGACTGCTCCCCACACACAAACGAACACACACGCGCGTGCGTCATCATCGGTAACCATCACAGTGGTCGTGCCACACAGCCCACGCACCGGAACGTAGTACGTGTTCATCTTGGACGCCTCGCACGCCAAGAAGAGCATCCCTGTGGGTTAGGGGTCGAGCCACGGTTAGAGGTAACAGAACAGAAATCGCATAAAACCACATGCACCCAACAACGAAGGTTAAAGCCAACTCCATGATTAAAACAGAAAAAAATATATACAAAGACGCAGAGGCGCCATCAATGACATGATGTAAGAAATATGAGTCAAAGAGAAAGGCAGGATGAGAGTGATGGAGAGACGGGAGTGATGGAGAGACGCGGGTTATGGCAAGACGGGTGTTATGGAGAGACAAGAGTGATGGAGAGATGCGGGTGATGAATTGACTGGGGGGTAGGTGACAGAAAAACGGAAGCGATGGAGGTAGAGCTGAGGAGTGCGTTTACCGCGTACCGGAGTTGGGGTAGAGGCACATGTTGTTAATGTTGTACTCGGGCTCAAGGGAGGTGAAATTCTTGCCCTGCCAAGTCGCAGACAAAACAACAGCAACGTTTAGATTTCGGACTGCCGTCCCTGGCAGCAGAGACACAAGCCCAGAAACAAGTGCAGCACTGTATCCTGTGCGCATGTACGAGTGTGTAAGCGCGTGAGCGTGCGAGTGTATGGGGGAATGAGCGTGTGAGTGTACGTGAACCTGTTGCGAGCAAGTGTAAGCAAACAGGCACAAGAGTGCATTAAAGAATAAGCGAGTGTAAAAGCATAGAAATATGTAAGCTCGTGAACGTGTGAGTGTGCGAGGGATATTCAAGTGCGAGTGAGTGAGCAAGAAAGAGTGCAAACGGGTAAATGAATAAATGTGGGCGAGTGTCAGCATATTTGCACTCGAGTGTGCGAGTGTCAAAAGAGTGAATGTCTGTGAGCAGGTCACTGTGTAAGATCGAGAATAAACCGAGTGTACGAGCAGTGTATATGCACATTAGCGGATGACTATAGCATGCATTTAATTATTATGCGCAAATGTAAATATCTATACGGGCGTATGGGTGTGTGTACCAGTGTGGCGAGCGGCGACAAAAGCGCTTAGGGCGCTGTGCTATGAACCCGAGTTCGATTCCCAGTAACGACTAATCATCGTACGTCAAGTGATATGTGAAGCAGTGCTGGACATCCTCTAGGTCGACTCAGCTTTAACCGAGTAGTCGGTACAATGTTTAAATACATCAGGCAAAGCGCGGATGGGCGCCAGCCACACCACCACCCCATCGTGTCCCTCGCCGAAACCCAATAGGTGCTCGTTAACGGCACCGGGCAGGGTCGCGTCGCGAAGGTGCCGTGCGCTCGCTGCTGGCGCTGCTCACCGTGTGCTGGTTCCACATCTTGACGATGCGCGAGTCGGCCGTCACCACGAGGTCCAGGTCTTCCCGGAACTCGATGTTCCGGATCGGCAGCCCGAAGCGGTGGTCCTTGACGAGGAGCGGGCGAGCCGAGCGGAGGTCGTACAGCAGCACCTGGCCGGGCGGCACGGGCAGCGCTCACTACTGCACTGGCCGCTGGTCGTACAGCGGCGACGGGCAACCCAGACGAGTCGGTGGGCCACATGAGCGGCCCTCCTTCACCCAAGTGGGCCGCGAGCTTGACACCGTGTTTGTGCACCGATCATGTTCCCACGCAGAAGCCTCGACAAACTTGGACTAGGCCACCAAGAGGGGCTGCACGGGACGTGTGCGGCTTGTGGGTCGCAGATTGCCCACCACTGTTGTAGAGTGTTGCGGGGAGGGGAGATCCATACCTGCCCAGTGCTGGTGCCCACAGCCATGTTCAGGGCTCCGTGGAACTTAAGTGCTGAAATCGCCGGAATGCCGGTGACCCTGAGGCACAGACATGGCCGTTCAACAACCGGTCACAGCGATCAGAGATCCCGACTCACAACTTAGAGGTCACGAGTTCAAATCCCAGCCATATGGGGGATCTTTTATCTTTGTTGTGTATGAGTAGCACTTACTCTGTATCAGCTGTGATGCTGCTAAGGGCGCAGTCAAGCACTCCGGCACGTGTACGGTCACGTGGGTCCCAGCACTCCACCCTGCCCTACAGAGATGAGACCCACACACCATAGCCTATTACACACCGCCAGGATAAAAGCTCTTGGCGAGCACCGATTTAGGCTGGCACGGCGCACAAGGTGGAAAGTGTGGCCAACGCCACACCAGGTCGTCTTTGTCTCCCCAGTGCTGATGTTTACACACCGCAGCAGGTACTCATTTAAGGGGAGACCCAGGACCGATTCAGATATTCGACACCAACGTTGGCCGTGAGCGGAACTCCAACTTGGGTCGTCGAGTAAGTAGCGCAGCGCGCTAACCACAAAGCCACCGCTGCATACATACATTCATATACACACAGAACACAGGCGCATGCAATATCAAACACATACCGATACATGCATATAAGCACCCACATATATACACATGCATATGAAGACACGAACACACGTACACAAGTACACGTGTGTGCACAACAGGCGCGTAGGCGGGAACAGGCGATAACTGACCTCCGCTGTTCCGCAGGCAAACAGCTGATGCTCCGTATTAATCCCGCACACATTGTTGGATCTGCTGGTGCACACACCATCGCACAGGGTGGTTCATTAGCGTTGTTAATACCAGCTTTTGTTGCATTATAAAAAATTACAAACAATATAAAAGTGATTATTAGTTTGCCAACCCGCAATGATCAGCGTGAAGTGTTGTTATTGTTGCGTCTATTTAGCCAGGAAGGCCCCCCTAAGTTTGTGACATTTTTTAAAAGGGTCTTGCTATGTTTTCACAGCAGGGGGCTACTATTGCCAAGGCATAATTCCCGAGTGAGTAATCTGCGGCGTGATTTTTCAAATGTGGCAAATTTAAACCATGGCATCGGCATGCAATGGCCTGCTTTTATTAACGACTAGCTGTACTGCCCGGCTTCGCCCGGGCCTTGGATTCACCACACCCGGCCGCCTTGGTCCCCTCAGTGGCGATGTTCACACCAACAGTTACTCGTTTGAGGCTGAGTCGACCTAGGGGAGGCCCAAAACCGTTCAAATAATCGTCACTGGCGGTGGCCGTGAGTGGGAATCGAACTCGGGTCGCCGGGTTCGTAGCGCAGCGCGCTAACCACTACAGTACAATGTGTTAAGCTTCCACATGCGCGGGTCACGTGACAGATTTGATGGTGTACAGTCTGGAAAGTACCCACATGGCAAATTTGCAGTTTGTTGCATGTCGGGAGGTACGCTAAACATTTTGAACAGACACACATATTCACAACTTTGCCTTTCATATATATGGAGATGTCTCGGGATATTAAAGTCCATTGACTGTCACAAACCAAATGTGATTGGATGAAGTAATTTTTTTGTTTCAATCATCGGTAACAGGGATGAAACCATCAACTCACTGCACTTGGGGACCCAGTTTAATAGCGGGAAGCGGCCGAAACCCGGATTCGAACACAGCACCTCAAGTGGTGCCGACTCAGTGCTCTGACCCTGGAGGTTTCTGGCCCCCTAGAGACTGACGTTACATTATCAATAGTTGCTGTGCCCCCCTGGCTCAAATGAGTAATAGGGCAACACTCATTTCAATTGGTGGACTATTCCAAATCTGATCATTTGTTTTTTTACCCTTTTATCTGGCAACAAAACTGACACCTTTTTTACAAGGAGTCATGTTTGCATTGACCACAATACCTGCAGTCGGAATGCAAACAAAAAAAGTGCGCCTTTTGGCGTCATCTGGTCCAACACCATGTGAGACTAGGCTCTAAGCAAAGCTGTCTCGGGTGTGGACCAATCAATTTCAAGGACAGTGCATATATTATCAGAGTTGTGTTTTTTGTTTGCATTCCGACTGCAGGTATTGTGGTCAATGCAAACATGACTCCTTGTAAAAAAGGTGTCAGTTTTGTTGCCAGATAAAAGGCTAAAAAACCAATTATCATATTTTGCTACTGGCCAAGGAGGTTCCAATGGTATTCCAAATCTATATATGCAAGGGACCAGTCTACCCATAGCAGAATTCGTGCTGTAATATTGGCTGTTGATTTGCCAGGAGGAGGAGGAAGAAGTACATACGATCCCTCGGTTTGAAGTGAATTCAGGAAACGGCCTTGCTCCAGATTCAGGCGGAACACTTCGGAGCTGCAGACGACAAGTGAGCGCAGTGCACGGTGAACACAGAATACAGTAAATACAGCACACAGCGCACGGTGAAAACAGAACAGCAGTGAATACAGCAAAGTGAATACACACAGAGCGAACACTCTGTGGAACACACGTATATTTGCCACTGTTACTGGTTGTGAACGAGAACTAAAACTCTGGTTGCTGGGCTCGGAGCACAGTGCGCTAACCGCTAAACTACCGCTTCACAAAGACAAAGATTCCTCGTATAGCCTCTAACAGACTGAAGGAGCAAGTACTGTTAGCGAGTAGCACCTATGAAGGCCGGCACGGCACAAGAGAGCAGTGGGTGGCCAGCACCACACCCGGTCGCCTTACTCGGGTTCTGGCAGGGAGACCGTGAGGGCAGCACGCACCTGGCTCCTACGAGGTAGAGGTCGCACGAGGGATAGTGGTAGGCGAAGTCGCGTCCGAACTTGGGGATGCGCGTGCGGTAGTAGATGCCGTTCTGAGAGTGGAACTCCACGTATCGGTCGCACTGCAGGAAAACCAGCTGCAGCAGACAGACGAAAACCCCCAAAAATAGTCACCACCCATAAGACTATCCAGAGCTCGAATCAAAAGCAGAAGGGCATTTACACAATCAAGGCAAGTTCAGAATTCAAAGTTCAAAATCATTCGAATAATATATATTGGGATAGAAAGTTTGAAGGTAATTGATTCAGTGTATTTTGGCATATATCACGTAGAATAACGTTAATTTGTTTCACGATAACCCTCCACAACCCGACAGAGCCAATCGAATCAAGTTGTCACGAAGGCAAATGTGCCAATTGCATTTGGTTAACCGGAGGAACGTTTACAAACAAAAATGTCAGAAACCTTTCCACGACGTTTCTCTGGAGATTACATACAGCATCGTTAGGTGTTAACAAAAGCTCAGCTCTCACACGAGAACCAAGCTATTGGTCGTTCAAAAAGAGAGCAGTCCATTATCAGCCTTGGGATCCGACCCTCAATTAGTGCCAGCGTCAACACACAGCGCCAACTCACGGCAGCGACTCCTCTAATGGGGCCATGCGATAGATCGCACTGTAATTAGTTTAGCGGAGTACTCGCCGAGTTAGACTCACCTTGGAGTAATCGTCCGAGAGGATTTCAAAGGTGACCACTGCAAGGGAGACACGGAAAGGGCAGGGGGCGAGAGCACGGTCATGTGAATGCAGAAAAACAATTCCTATTTACCCAGGAAAGCCTCGCCAAGTCGTCAGACTGCCGCATCACTCGAGGATCCTGCGCTGGGATGTTTGGCGAGTGGAGTAGTTTTTTTTAATATACGTGGGACAAAAATTAAGTACCTTGGTTGAAAACCCACCACACGTATAAAAAAAAGAATGATAAAAATCTACTTGCTTTACTGGCCCCAACTGGCAAGAGTGTCTCATCAATATAAAATCACTTTACCGATGTTATCTCTACATAATCAGCGAGCACATTCGCCTACCACAGCCCAGGTCCTCCTTCGCAATACACCTCTTTGTCTCAATCAAGGTCAAGAAGATGGCCAATCATGAGCCAATCCTTATTGAAGCCACCACAATTCGCCATCACTTCCTTCTGCCAGATCCCACACCTGTTCAGAGTATTCCAAACTCTCAATTGAGGCGATGAAAGGGGGCTCACCCTCTGAGTCCATGCAGCGCTCAAACTTCATGGAGAGCTGATTGACGTCATAACACCTCACCCGTGGCTTGTAGGTGCCTGCACAACCACATGGACAACGTGATAACACAATAAACTAGCAGTCAATGTCTTGTTTATTCGTCAAAAAATAAAATTACATTTAAATCTATTACCGACCATCCTCAACAATGTCTTCCAGTAGCTTGTTTAAGCAGACAATGCTTGGACCGATTTTCGAGTTGCCTTCGTCTCATCAGCAGTGAGGCATGGTAAACAATTGATGGGTGTTACAGCAAGTTCCATCCGTAATCACTGGATAGCAAATTTAAGATTATATATGTACTCATAACATCAGTCACAGGGATGAAGCCATCAACTCACTACACCAGAGGTTCGCAAACTCCAGTCCTCTTGACTCACCACGCTACTTCTTCCCTTGTTCCCAATGTACTCCCGATTCAAATATAAATTAACTGGTTCAACACTTTACGCGCCCGATGATTGTTAAACAAATCCCACATGACGTGCTAAGCAATTAACGCTGTCTGCATCACATGGAACACGTGGACCATGTGTACACACGCACGGGGACGTGTACGCATGCACACGCAGAATACGTGGATACACGCACGGGGACCACGTGTGCACACGCGCCACATATACACACGCACCACATGTACGCACACACGGAAACCACGTGTACACGCGCACGGAGACCACGTGCACGGAGACCACGTGTACCCACGCACGGAGACCACGTGTGCACGCGCACAGGGACCACGAGTGCACACGCACGGGGACCACGTGTGCACGCACATCGCCTGAGATCCCAATCTTAATTTGAATCGGATCTATTCACGCAGACAGCGTTCAATTCATAGCGCGTCAAGTGGGACATGTTTTACAATTTATCGGGCGCATGCAGCGCGTAACGAATGGGGAGGAGTAGATTGGTGAAATTGGTGAACACGGAAAGACGGAGCATGGTGGGGGTTGCGAGGACTGGAGTTTGGGAGGCCCTGCAAGACACGATTTGCCGTGCCGGACAGGAACCAAACTGACTCGCTGGCCTCATAACACCTGTGACTCTGGCTCAGGGCCAGGGAAGGTCGCATTAATTGCACGTGACAGTCAGTCAGTCAACACAGTGTCACCGCGTCATCTACACGCGTCTCCATTAGATCATCCAAATTATTATTGAATGTATGTCAGAGGTCGCAATCGGGTACCCGATACCCGTACCCCTACCCGATACCCGGCTACCCGGCCGGGTACGGGTACCCGTTTGCGACCCTGGTGCGGCCGGGTACGGGTAGGCCGTGAGTCACTGGTGAGTAACCGTTTGTCACTCATTTCCCAACGTCTTGTCTCTTCTCACAATTCAAGTTCCTAGAATCAACCCACCCGCACCTGCAACATGGCTTCATCCCAGAGGTCGCAATCGGGTACCCGTACCCTACCCGATACCCGGCCGGGTACGGGTAGCCGGGTATCGGGTAGGGTATCGGGTACGGGTACCCGTTTGCGACCCTGGTGCGGCCGGGTACGGGTAAGGAATCAAAACCCGTTTGCGACCTCTGATGTATGTTGAATTTCTTTCGCGATCACTCGTGTTGGACGCGTGCACATGTGTTGTCCCACTGGCTCACCTGTTGCGAGCAGGTACTGCCCGTCCCGCGACACGCGGATGTTGTTGCACACGGTTGGCATCTCCCAGTCCTGGATGAGGTTGATTCGCTTGCGTACGGCTGTGAGATACACACACACACACACGCATGTACGCACACACGCGTTAATGCATGCACGTGTGCGAGACATAAACAGACACTCGGAGATGGCGATCACTATGATAGCATACGCACTTGCTAGCATTCATATCAGGTTGAGTGGATCAGAGTGTATCGAGTGGCTGCTGTCAGTGAGTAGTTTGCGGTGAAAGGTGGACGCTCACCGACATCTTGCTTGAGTAATTCTCGCCTCTTGCGGTCTGTGAGCCACTGCGTACGAAACAAAGACAAAGATTCCCCGTATAACCATCACATACTTTTGGGGCAAGTGCTGTGTGCGAGCAGATATTAAGGTCAGCACGGCACACAAAACGATGGGTGGCCAGCTCCACATTTGTCACCCTAGTGGTTATGTTTACACGCCGCACGATGTACTCATTTTAGGCTGAGTCGACCTAGGCGAGGCCCAAGACCGGTTCAGATAATCGTCACTGGTGTTGGCCGCGAGCGGAAATCGAACTCGGGTCGCCGGGTTCGTAGTGCAGCGCACGTTAAACACTGCGCCACCGTAAGATAAATGTGCCAATTAAACATTCAATTAACATCCAATTACTTGGCTGCGACCTCGTCATGAATTTTAAACCATCGTCCATCATCCCAAATCACGTGTCCTGCCCGAGCTCACCAAACTTTTCTTCACAGTTGGAGTGAACAGGTTGCGTTTTTTACTCTCCGATCCACGCCTTCCTTTTTTCTGTCTGGGGTGCAATCCCAAGCGTACGTGGTCTATCACCCAGCACACACTCCTGTGTAACCCGCAAGTAAACAACGAAATGGTTGGACCGACGGTTCGAACTACAAGCCAACGTCGTATGCTTTACTGCCCAAAGCACTTTCCCGACTCTCCCATTCATCGCGGCAAGGAGCTCGCAAAGCGGACCCCCCCCCCCCACTCTCCCCACGCACCTCAGGCAGGGATTTTCCGCTGCTCAGGTTGTAGATCTTCACGTTGTTGATGCTTGACACCTGCATTGCGACTCGAAGGCAAGAGTCGAGATGCTCGAGACCCCTTTCGCGTTACACGTGCTCCACGCGCCAACATGTGTTCGCCATGTGTTCGCCGCTTCCGTTTCCGGGTCAAACCCGCGGGGTTGGGCAAGGGGCGGGGCGTCGCTGCGAGTGTGAGAGGCGCAGACTCATGAATATTCATGAGGATTAAACACTTTTTTTTAATCAATCAACCCATGCGGTTTGCCCATATTGTGGCCGAAACGTCGTGAGAATTTTATTTTATTATGTTTTATTATTTTATTATTTCCCTTCTACGTGACTTTACCGAAAGATTTGAAGCTTTCGTGACTGCAAGGATTCATACTCTTAGTTCTTTCGGTAAAGTCATGTAGGTAAAAAATTAAATAAAAATTAATAAAAATAAAACAATAAAAAATAAAAATCACGACGTTTTGGAGGCAACACAAGTCTCCGTCATCAGGTGGGACCGGTTGTGATTTTTATTTTTATTGTTTTATTTTTATTAATTTTTATTTCATTTTTTACCTACGTGACTTTACCGAAAGAACTAAGAGTATATTTACCGAAAGAACCAAGAAGATGAATCCCTGCAGTCACGAAAGCTATAAATCGAAACAGAACAGTGTTGGTTAATGTATATTAAAGTGATGGGATGTGGTTACCTGAATATTGGCAGTTCACCAGCCTTTGCTGAAGCAAGCCTGAACCCTGCTGATGAGACACTGAATATCGAAACCGGTGCATGAAGTTATTCATGCCTTGAATCATTGCTGCTGAAATGACGCGCTTCCAGAAAGCCGTGCGGCTGATGGGTTGTGGAATAATTAGTTGAATATCTATGCGGAGAAACGGATATGCGAAGGAGACATTGCTTATTTTGTTATTTATATTTTCTCCACAACGATGCCAATTATTATTCTTAACACGTGAAGGGGTTTTGCAACTACTGTAATACGATTGATATATATTTTTTTGGGTCAGATGACGTAAGTCTAATTGTTGTGTCGTGCACTCTCCTCCATCCGACACAGCCAATTCATAAATTTGTCACGTGATGCACAAACGTGCCAATTAACGCCTCTGCAGCACCACCGATTTTATTGGAGAAGCAATACGCAACATTTTACAATTTGGTACGACCTTTCGCTGGTAGTTACAACCATCATCATCATCATAAATCCTAGGCCTTTGGCAATCTGAGATGTATGGCAACCGCCTGATGATGCTGGTTATTATAATGCTTGGTGTAATGATGCTGTTTGTGATGAATGACGCCAACGACCACTGTATTTTGAGTTATGCGTGAATTGCATTGAGTGCTACGCCTCCTAGCGGACAGGGCGCAGCATCGCATCAAAGTAACGAGCGGTCCCGCATGATTGGTGGAGGACAAACCCGAACGAGGGCTTTATTAAGGGGCTGTCCATAAATGACGTCACGCATCTGGGCGGGGGGGGGTCAGACATTGGTGACGATGTGTGACTGAGGGGGGGGGGGTGAGAAATGTGACGTCATATCAAAATGCGTAACTTTAAAAATAGACAACACGTTCTACTTAAGTAAATATACGTTTTAATGTTTTCTCCTACAACATCAGAGTGCAGCGCCACATTAAATACGCACTACAATGACAATAGTTTAACGCGATTTGAAGCATATTTAACATTTTTTTTGGGGGGGGGGGCAGAGCTTTGTGACGTCAGGTGCGTGACGTCATTTATGGACGGCCCCTATATTCACAGTAATCACGGTAAATTTGTGTTGTACTAACCCTGTAAACGTAGCACGTTGGGCTATAACGTTGGACCAACCACATACCAAAATTGGCCCAACGTTGGATGTCTTTATTGACATTTTCACGGTCGATTTGTGTTCCACCAAGATACGCACGCCATAATATAGTTTTTTTTGGGATTAGATCGTGTAAATATAAATGTGGATAATTAAACCCGCCACCGCCCGACACATTTATATTTACGCGATTCAACCCCAAAAAACCTGTATTATGGACTGATATTGGTCGCGAAAGCCTACGTGTTAAACATACGCACGCCTGTTCTAGGTTCTTTCGGTAAAGTCACGTAGAATAGAATAAAATAAAAAAAATTCTCACGACGTTTCGATTGCAACACAAGCAATCATCAGGTGTGAAAACCACAGCAAGAAAATTTTCACAGCAAGACATTTTTCTTGCTGTGGTTTTCACACCTAATGATGATTGCTTGTGTTGCAATCGCAACGTCGTGAGAATTGTATTGTTTAATTTTATTATTTTATTGTGTTTTCCCTTCTACGTGACTTTACCGAAAGAACCAAGAATATTAATCCCTGCAGTCACGAAAGCTTTAAATCGAAATGCGCACGCCTGTGTGAATAGTCTACTGGATACAAGGCGTCTTGGATACATTGCAACAGCATTTCAGTTTGATCGACTAGTTTTCTGGCCACATTCTTTTTGACAAGAGATTAACACACAGATAACCCGCCTTGTTGCCACACACCTAGCCCGCAAGATACATCACCCACTACACACAGCCCTTCTCACACACGAGGCAGGGCACTGTAAAAGGACATCCAGGCGAGCCACAATTGCACTCTAGTTGCGTCTCTATGACGACATGGTACGGAAAAGGAAGCGTGTCCTTGACTCATTGATCAAAATCGATTTTCCAATTCAAGACGTGCATCGCTATCGCTGATATTACACTGAGCTGCGCAGGCGAGAGCTTTACACGACTTGGACTTATTGAATTGATTCTCGGGAGAATCAATTCAATGTTACGGCAGGCAAACCTGGAGAGACTACGATCGGCGGCGTGTAATATTATTATGTTTTTAGAGGGGACGATTTTTCGCAACGAATGCGTGATGTGGCAGTGAGGAAGGAAGGGATGGCGAGGTTTGGCGCATCAAAAGCATTGACCATCGTGACCCTCTTGACTTTGACTCGATTAGTAAGGTAGCTATGTAACGCGGTGCGAGGGGGAAGTGTGGTCGGAACAATGCACGCCCGACCGTCTCCCCCCATTGAGGGTGTTCACGATCTCACAGTCACCGGTTTTCTCCAACACCAAACAAACGAGAAAAAAAAATCGACAAATAAATGGCAAAACTGCCGAACGCAGAACCCTCCTTACAACGAGTCTCGAGACGCAAGCGAGACTCTCCAGAGTAAACGATGATGAGGATGATGATTATGAATAACTGACGACGGCGATTGTGGCGATTATTCGATGATGATGATGATGACGATAATCATTTGACAATGGTAATGATTTGATTTCACCTAACATTACGATCCCATGACCGCCATGACAAGGATTCGTATTAATTTACCATGATTATAATAATGATTTAATTATTATTACTATTCATATTTGACCACAAAGGTTATTACGATAATTCGTTGATGATTGCAATCCATTTAAGAACGTTCATGATTTGTATGAATGATGGTATTGATGATGATAGCGACGATGGTGATGCTAGTTTATATAACGATAAAAAGTTGTTGGTTATCCATTGACAACGACGATGATGATGGGGGATGATGTTAAATTATTAACCCACAACGACGATTTCAGATCCGGCAGTGTTAACAAAAATAATCACACGAATTTGCGACATCTTCGAACGGCGAACCTCCACGCATGTTTCTAGATTTGAAGCTTTCGTGACTGCAAGGATTCATGTTCTCAGCAGTGAGCTCACAACAAAGCTGCCCTTCAACCACCTGCTCCCTCCACCACGTCCTCCATCTCCAACGAGTCCCGTGCAGGTTAGGTCTGGCTCGGAGCAGTCACACACGCTCTCTGCCCGGTCACAACAGACCACACCGGTCCCAAACCACCTCGGGCCTCCCGGTACCTGTCACCCTATAGAGACATACACAGGGTATAGAGGGTGGTGGGGGGGGGTTCTGGGTGGTGGGGGGAGGTGTGGGTAAGTAGATGTGGGTTTCGGGCATGGGGTGGCTTTATAAGCTGGAAGATCACCGATCCGCTGTCTAGATGGTGAGTGCGAAGGTCGAGTAATTGAAGTCAGCACCATCATCTATCTGCCTGGAGTCTCCCTGGCTGTCCGTCCTCTGTCGAGACCGATGATGGACACGAGCCATTCGCGCGACTAGGACCGCTACTCGCGGTGGGGTGTAGTGTGGAGGGGAGCGGACAGAACCTGGAGGACACTCCTGCAACTGGCCGTTCGGTTACCTGCCCCCTGCCTCGCACAGGTGTGTAGCGATACGCGAGTCGGGTCGCACGACCACCGGCTACATTGTGTGATATGCATGCGAATTAGATGGATACACGTAGATGCACACAGAGACGCGCTTAGAAACAGACACATTGCGATATAAACACACACACACGCACACACCTGTGAGACGAGATAGCTGTGGGAGAGGGGATCGGGGGATAAAGAGGATGAGGAGATGAGGGGTGTGTGTGTGTGAATATCGTGTAGATGCTCCTGCTCTGGCACAGGTCCTAAGGTATATAGCAAAGTCCAGTGGCGTTTCACTCGAAATCAGTAAATTAATAATGATCGTCGTGCTGCCGTTGTGTGAGGGTTATCGCTGCTGCCCTCGCAATCCACAATTTGGGTGCTTGGATTCTATCTCCCGTCGCGGCAGTTAAAGCAATGAGCAGATCCTTAATACCCGATCCGACCCGCCGCTGTCCACCAAATGAGTGTTAATGGGCACGGTAAGTTACTCCTCGATCGGCAGGCAGTGTGGTGGGGTAGAGCGTGGACAGTGCCGCCTCTTGCGCCGTGGTGGCGAGATGTGAACTACCTCGCCTGGTATACAGGAGGTCGTGGGATCGATTCCTGACCCTGACGCCTGTATATTTGGAGTTTGGAATGTCGATCTCCACGTGGTCGCGTGGACTTTTCTCCGGGTCCTCCGGTTTGCCCCTCCACATTTAGAAGCATGCGTTTCGCATATTTGGCTGATATAAATTTCCGCGTAAGAAATACCACTTCGTTAGGCTATCATTTGTGATGGCCATACAGTGGGCCTTACCTGGTAAAATAAAAAATAGTTTCGTTTTAATAGTTCTCTTCCAAGAGGTCTGGCCAGCGTGGAAGCGTAGGC